TATTGAAATTGATTGGGTTGGATATAGCTTTTTGTGCTATTTATATTTTTTTTTTGTATTTGATTGATTTTTTTCCTTAATGATTGAACGACTATATTTGAAACGGATTTCCAAAATAGAAAAAAGAGAGAATATAATCTCATGAAAACAGATACAATAATTCTTATCTATTAAGCAATATCTAGTTCATTGATTGTTCTTATGAATTAAATAGATGTTTATTTATTATTATTTTTTTGTATATTTTTAGAGAAGTTTATGATAATGTTTTCGGGAGTGTTTGATATAACCGAGAAAAAATAAATATCAAGAAAATAAGATTGGTCCGACAACGACTAATTTACAAATATTAGTTTCATAAATTTACACGTCGATGGGCAAAGCTGATCGGATTTTGATTTTTAAAATTCAATTTTATTAGCGGTCAAATTTCTATCCTCCGTTACATCGCTTTTTTTTATTTATTTATTTATTTATCTATTTGTTGCTCTGTCTTCTATTTATCACACACATTGATCTAAAACAACATTTATTCGAAAATAGACAAAATACCAAATGGCTTATATGCAAAGGGTATGAACATGGAATATCAAATTCAGTAATCATCCATTGTAAACAATACAAACATCACACACGACAAAGTCTCTCTCTCTCTCTCTCTCTCTCTCTCTCTCTCTCTCTCTCTCTCTCTGCATATTTCACATAATAAGACACAAAACAAACAACAAATTTTCACAACACTAAACCCTGAACCGAACTCACAAACTCAGTTTTTTTACAGAGTAGTTTACCACCGTACCTGTCTGAAGATTTAGACAAACTCGAACTTCATAAGGAGCTTGACAGATTTGTACTTCTCGCCCTTGCGGTTGTGGAGAGGAATGGCACGTATTCCCTGCCTCAGCTCCCAAACCGGCAAGCATGTCTGGCCTCCGAAATCATCTTTCTCAGACATATCATACTCGTGCACTTCCACACGCAGGAGAGCGAGTTCGGGAACTGTCAATGGGAACTCAAAAACCTCGTCCCATGCAGGTATCCAGTTGTCCTCTAGGGTTTTCGTCTTCTTCATTATTGAATCGGCTGGAACTCCAGCTATCCCAACCTGAAAGTTTTCAACTTTGCTGTCATATATTAACATCTAACACTTGCTCAGTTTCCGAAAACACTCAAAGTTTCTTTTGAGTATACTATGTTCAGTTTCTGGCTAAAAGCCAGACATCTTGAATGGACGAAAGAAGGAAGGATTCTACTTTGAACATAACCCTCTACTTAAAAGGAAATGGACTTACCCTTGTGTAGAAGTCCGGAGGGGAGTATTGATCAAAGTGTGTGTGGCGGAAATCATAGTACCAACCTTCACCCATGTACACAGTTACCTGAAGATATGAACATAAAACGATGCACATACATCAGGGTTATCGGGGTTCAATGACACGAAATGACTGCAGTTATACAAGCCGAGATGAGGTGAGGCGAAACAGAAAACTCACTCTCAAGGTTGTTTTTGGATGTAAAGTAGCTTTCGGATCAAAGACATCGTCGTTTGGGCCAGATTTCAGTAGGATATCAGGTTTCCTCACATATCCGCATCCACCATTGGCTCTAAACATTCCTTGCATTAACCACAACGATCTTCCATGTCCCTGTACAAGGAAAAGCATTACAATAATCCAAATCCGTGCAAGTGTTTTACCCGATGAAACAGAGTACAACCCTTCAAGACTGAATGAAACCTAAATTTCTGGGAAATTCTGGAAATTTAATTCTCCTGAAGAAAATTTTAAGGGAGAGCAAAAGACACCTGCATATTGAATGCCACCATTTGAGCACCGTGGCTCCAGCCAACAAACGGATTGTAATTTGATGAGTCAACTCTTACTCCCTTGGGGTAAATGCGAAGCAAGTTACGCTGAGTAAACCTGGTTTACACCATGATTAACAGACCAATACCAACAGAATTCATACAGTACTGTAGAACTTAGCCAAAACTTTACTAGATATCCTTGCAATATGTGAATATTTACTGAAAATACCTCACTATTTGCTCCCCATATTTTAAAGCTGCCTTCTCAAGCTGTTCTTCGCTCAAGCTAAGCCGTCTCACTCTGTCTGGATCCACCTTTAGACATTCAAGTATTCCACCTTTCGGTTTCCCAGCATGGATTGCAATCAAATGCGTATACTGAGGCGGCATGTGCTTCTTAGATTTGTCTCCTCCTTCATCATCATCGTCATCGTCCTCATCTCCATCCAAATCATCCTGCCACATTAAAGAAAACACCAAGTTAAGTATATACACATTTTAAAAAATTGGATGTGATAACAGGAATCACTTCACATACCCTGGCATCACTTGCGTTCCTCTGGATAAAGCTTGGAACTTCTCTTCCCCAAACTTCTTCATCACCCAATGTTTTACCCTTTTTCTCACCATCCTCATCCTTTCCTTCCTTGTACTCTTTCGGTGGTTTGGTTGAGATGATAATCCGTTTTTTCAAAGATTCTGGCGAGGGGAACTCCTTCAAGCATTCTCCGACAGGAGGAGTAAACAGGATATCACCAAATGTCTGGGTAACCATCTAGAATCCGACAAAAAGGTGGCATTTTCTAAATATTGCTGCGGTCATCGAAATAAAACATTTCTCACAGGAATGACAAATACACCCACCTCAGCAACTTTAGCCTGGAGTTCTGGGGTAAGATGATCTTCAAGGGTTACAACAACAGGATACTCGGATGCATCAAAGGCATGAGCTTTAATAGCTCTAAGGCATTTGATCAGCTCCACGGGTGTAGTGAGTGTCCTGTTACAATGGGTCAGTACGGTTTAATATGCTTAATTGGATAACCATTAACCAAGAGGTACAAATAAAAATACTTTCACACCATACCTTCCGTGAAGGACGTGGATATCATCTTTGTTGGAATTCGGCCATATATCCAATTCAATAACTCTAACACCTTTCTGCAATGCTTTTATGATAGGAACCTCGCTGCAGTCACTACTCAACTGATTACCAGTAAGGTATGAATTATGGCCGGTGAATATGTAATAATGTGACAAAGGAGCATTCATATCTTGATGCACCTGAAAATCAGATAAAGAATCACGTATTACAGTATTACTGATCAATCGAACACAAGATATGTTCTTTTGAAAACAGAAAATCTAACAAAAGTAAACAAATTTATATTTCTACCAAAAATGGCGAACAATCTGATTCATTGGCATGAAGCAGAAGCAAAGTTTTATCTTTCCTGGAAATGTCAATGTCTAATGGACAGTAGAAGGCAAAAACTTGCCCGGTCACTTTACTAGCAAGTACATGCCCTCCGACTCCTATTCTCCAAAAGGGTTCTACTTTTCACAGCAAAAGAACACGGAAATGAAAGCCCCTGTCGGAAATAGAAAATCTTGAACTCCCATGAAAGAGTTTCAATCCAACACAAGAGGAAGCAAACAAGGAAAAGACAAAAAAAAACGACAGATTGGGGGGGGGGCAAAAGGAGACTCTCAGTTGCTTCTCACTGTTTTCTCAGCAACCAAACCGAAAATTCAAAGAAAACCCAGTTCAGAAATATGAAATTCATACAAACATTTGAATCAAACTCCACGAAATACCAAACAAATTAAGGTGGCAGTCCAACCACCTCTTTTTAAGCCCACCACCATTTTTTTTATCAGCTTCCAAACGGAGGAACACCAAAAGAAATCCATCAGAGATCAGACATTGTCTCAGTCAGGAAATCAAAGCACAAGATAAAAGAGAATTACCTCACTTGGAGAGAGAGGAACGTTGTTATCACCAAAAAGGTACTTGAAGAAAGCATCAAGATGGAGACCATTCCGATGAAGAAGAGAGGAGGAGGCATTGATAATAGCTTGAGCATCATCTCTCGTGGCTTTATCTTCCTTTTGGACTTCGATTAGAAACCGATGGAGATGATCGACGGTCATCACGCCATTCTCCGAATACCTTTGGAACAGGGTCTTGATCTCCTTCGGTGCTTCCGACACAGCATGCCGGAACCTCCGCCGGAAGCAGAAACACACTCTGTATGTCTGCTTCGACATGGATGCGAAGACCCCGAATCCGATTAATGCAACGAATTATGTGGAAACAAAAAGTAATTTAGGGTTCTTGGAAATGATCTCGTCCCTCGTATAGGTGGTTCGAATCATTGGGGTTCTCAATAAAGACGGGAATGGATGGGGCAAACTTCAGCAGTGCCACGTGTTAACTTTTCATTGGGCCACGCGATCGCGAGTGGACGAGGCCGTTTTAGTTTATTAATTATGCTAATCGCATAGGTTCGTTTCTTGCGTAATGGAAATTGGGATCGAATTTTACAATCGACAAAAAAATAAAGATGTGAAATAGTGTAATTAAAAGAGTTAGATAAAATTCTCCTTGGAGTGTCCCTCTCATAAAGCTCCATTGAATCTTTTCTTTTGTTGTCGGCAACTAATTAACCGATCATAAAATAAACAAATTTTTTTGTCAGACAATAAATATAATTTATATGGCTAAATTTTGACTTGTATGAGATAAGATCTGTTATGTGTGGTTATTTCGAATTTCTCTTTGGATTTGGATTAGTTATATTCAGATTCCGTCATTTCTATTATAGAAAAAAAATGCTATCATTTGGTTTGGTTCAGATTCGTTTTTTGTGTCAAAATTTATTTTTTTTTTAAAATATCGATTTTTTGATTATTTTTTAATCGGTTTGGCTAGATTTGGATTCTATTTTTTGGGTTTAGAAAAATTATAACCGTTCGATTTTTATATCAAATTCGATTTAGTTACGGTTATATCTTATTCGGTTCGATTCTGATAATATAAATAGTGAGAGGCTATTGATTACGACATCGAACTAAATGATAGTATGGGAATATATATATGATCGAATATAATTAAAATCCCGTAATATTTTCAAATGGTCCGACCAATATCTCCTCCAGACACGAAATTTGCCGGTACAAGAAAGAAAAATCGTAAACTTGCGTAATCACATTTCCCATAATGAATGTTGCCATAGGTTAAATACAACTTTGGGGAGAGAACAAGCTCGAGAGTTTAACCAAAATAAATTAAAAAAATAAAAATACATAAATAAATAAACATGGTGAAAGCTAACCATACAATTTCAGGCCTCAGATCAAAACTCAAACCGAGCCGAAACCAAAGACCACATACACTGTTTCTATCACAAATTCTGCCAAAAAGCTCTGATACTCTCTCATACAAACTCTTCGTTATCTTATCGAATTACTGTGTGTCATTCCAATACGAATCGCATTAGAAGCCTCACCGATTTCAGTTTCTCGCCCTTCTTGTCGTAAAGAGGGACAGCTCGAATGCCTTGTCTCAGCTCTGCAACGGGCAAGCATGTCTGCCCTCCGAAATCATCCTTTTCCGACATGTCGTATTCTCTTACTTCGATCCTAAGCAATGCTAGCTCCGGTACTGTCAATGGGAAGCTGAATTCCTCGTCCCATATCGGGTACCAGTTATCTTCGATTATCCTCGTTTTCTTGCTCGCATTGTCTGCAGGAACACCGACTATGTATAGCTGCAGTTTCATGTATAGATAACGTCAGCTGCTTTCTCGGGGAAAGAACATTCCGAGATGGAGAGAGATCGGTGAAGATATAAAAGGGTGATATGGGTATCGGAATTTCGCGCGTAAGTAGAAACCTTTGTGTAGAAATCGGGAGGAGAGTATGTGTCAAAGTGAGTGTGGCTGAAGTCTAAGCGCCAACCATCTCCCATGTATACCTTAACCTGTTGAAAACGGAAGATAAGCAAAGGGCGAATCTTGAATCTTGAATCTGAAAATATGGGGATTGGATTGAAAAGATGATGATACTTACCTTTAGCGTCTGCTTTACGGGGAGTTTCTTTTTCGGGTCGAAAACTTCTTCCTTCGGATCTTGATCCATCAGAAAGTCGGGTTTCTTTACATATCCGCAACCCCCATTGGCTCTGAACATCCCGTGCATCAGCCATAGCGATTTTCCATATCCCTGGAAGATATTCTTTAAAATTATCGATGACATCTTGTCTGATACACAGATACGAAGGGATTGTAAATGGAGGGTTGTACTCAAACCTGCATGTTAAATGCAATCATCTGTGCACCATGCGTCCATCCAACGAGTGGTTTGTAATTTGAAGAATTAAATCGCGTCCCTTTCGGGTATATCCTAAGCAGATTCCTCTGTGTAAATCTGGACACCCGGTCGAAATGAGCATAGCAAGCAAGGTAATGGTAGACATATATAGTATGAGGAGAGAACCCGATTATACAAAGGTACCTTACGACATCCGTGCCATTGGACGAGCAAGTTCTGTCGAGCTCCTGCTCGCTTAAACTGAGACGTCTAACTTTATCAACCACCACTTTCATCTCGTCTTTCACCGCTCCCTTTGGTTTCCCAGCATGAATCGTGATCAGCCGCTTGTACTCTGTTGCAGGGCCCTGCTTCTGATCTTCACCGGCATCTTCGTCTTGATCACTGTCACTCAGCTGATTATACAAAAAAAGGGATCACGGAATCAAACAAGAACTCCACTGAATCTTAGTTATGCAACAGCCTACAATCCAAGAATCAAATATTCATATGAAAACCGAAAACTGCAATTTTGTTACCTTGTTATAACATTCTAGTTCCAAGACAGTTTCCAGTGTCTGCATACTCTCGGTTCCAGCGCTCTCCTCCTCGGATGATGGAGATGCGTTCTCCTTCTGTTTGATGATCGGGTTCCTGGACTCGAGATACTCTTTTGGGGGTTTGGTTGATATAATTATCCGATGTAGCAGTGAAGCCGGAGAAGGGAATTCTTCTAAGCTATCCGATTCAGGGTAATACAGCATCTCTCCGAATGTCTGAGTAGCCATCTACTTACATGTACAGAAACACAACTCAATCCTTCCACCAAACGAAAACGGTTCTAAATTTGGAATCAGGATCATACAAGAAAAGTCTACCTCTGCAACCTTTGCCTGAAGATCTGATGTAAGGTGATCCTCTAACGTGATTATAACCGGATAAGGCGAACTGGAAAAGGCGTGGTCTCTTATGGATTTCAGGCATTTGATAAGAGGCACGGGCGTAGTGAGTGTTCTGAAAAGATTCATCATATCAATGCACAAGCCTACAATTCAGACCATTACAGGACATGCCTTGAACAAATGTTACCTCCCATGAAGAACATTGATGTCTGTTCCTGTGGAGTTGGGCCAAAGATCGAGTTCGATGACCCTAACGCCTCGTTGCAAGGCCTTAATGATTGGTACCTCGCTGCAATCGCTGCTCAGCTGATTGCCCGTAAGATACGAGTTGTGTCCTGTATATATGTAATAATGCGACAATGAAGCAGTCATGTCTTGATGCACCTGCTCAATTCACATACACAAATATACGATATCTTCAAATTCAACCCAGAAGAACCAGAAAACCGGGAAAACAGCAACGATGGAGAACAAAAACACGACCCACTTACGCTAGGCGTGATGGGTGGGTTGAGATCGTCGAAGAAGAGGAAATGGAAGAAATCTTCTAGGTCGAGGCCGTGGCGGGTGAAGCGGGTGGCGTGGTGACGGCGTCTGATGACGTCATCGATAATATGCTGAGCCTCGGTGGCGGTGGTTCCTTTCTCTCCCTGGTGCTCCTCCAGGAACCGGCAGAGCTGCTCAGCGCCGATGACGCCGGAATCGCCGCCGTCACCGGAGGCGAAGCGGGTCGACAGTTGGCGGACGTCGTCGGTGGGCTCCACCTCGTTGATCTTGAATTTGCGGTTGAAGCATTTGAACATCTTGTAGTTGTACGTCGTCGGTGGGCTCCACCTCGTTGATCTTGAATTTGCGGTTGAAGCATTTGAACATCTTGTAGTTGTAACTCCCGCTGTCGCTCTTCTCCTCCGATTTCTTCTCCTTCCCCATTTTTGTTTTTGTTTTTGGTCAAAACTTCCTAAAATCGACCCTTCTCCGGATTCGAATTCTAGGGTTTTCAGCTTTTGAATTCTTTTGTTGCGTTCTTCTCCGAAGAACTGGGATTGAAAGAGGAAGAAAACAGAGGGGAGAGGGGGAGAGAGAATAAAAGAGGAGGTTTTGAAGCGGGATCGTCTCTTTTGTCTCGACGTGCCCGTTTGTTGTTTTTAATTTTCTCTTTGGTCTTTGGAAATTTTACATTTTATCCCTAATTTCTTTTCACTGTTTTATCAATTTATTTTTTTAGGGGTAAAGGTTATTATCAAAATCCTTTGGGCATTATCCCTCGTCTTTCTTTATATGAAGTTCTAACATTTTTGGGGTTTTTTTCCCCGATTTAATTTCTAATAAGAGAATTTCTTAATTTAGGCATTTCACCTCCTTTTATTTAGTAAAGTTATTTCATTTTCTATTTTATTGCAATTAAAAAGTTAGTGGTTTATTCCAATCTAAGGAAAAAATAAATTTGTGTTGGATCTTGTTCACTTCTAGATTTTTCCAAACTGACTATGCTTCATAAATCTGATGATCTGATATCATGGTAAAAAAAAATTTACAGGCGCGCACAAAAGGCACGTAACTCCTTTCCACCGTTATATTTTTTTATAGTAAAAAAAAGAAGGGGATACAATGATTTCTTCATATATATATATATTTTCTTTTCATGTTACATAAGTAAATTATTGTTGTAAGCACATCTTTTTTTTTTTTTTGATAACGGCGGGAACCCAACCACAGCCCTTCGGGCGCGGTGATAAACCCTCCGGTTCCACGTAATAGCCTGCAAACCACGTGGAACAGGTAAACCACCCAAAGGGTGACAGGCTCGCTGGAGAGTGGAATCGAACCCATGACCTCTTGGAAAATCATGGGCCCTTTAACCACTACACCAGGCCCCTAAGGGCGTTGTAAGCACATCTTATATCGAACATTTTGTTTATATTTTACTAACGTCTTGGGTACTACCGATTCATATAACATACGTATGTGGTTATTTTTGCATGCTCTAAACTTTTAAACTTCTTTTTGTTGGGAATCCATGGCACAACCCTTTGAACCAGATATTGCCTATTCCCGTGGATCGGACAACATGGACAACATATCAAACAGTAACTCTTTGGCTTCCCGCAATATACCGCAAATCACGCGAAGCATATAAATCAATCGAAACTGAGCGGTTAAAGAAATCGAATCCACAGTCTCAACTTTAAACTTTAGTGTTTCAGTTAATCATGATTAGATATTTCTAATTCATTTTGGTGAAATAATATCTAAATTAGTTACAAAAAAAACAATATCTAAATTTATTTTGGAGAAAGATCTGTTCAAATCATCGTACACGGGACTCACCAAACCCTTTTTGTTTTGTTTAATTTACAAATCATTTAATATTTCACATCAAGTTGGGTCTAATCTGTAATTATTTTAATATAAAGACTTTTATGAACAATTCCATAATTTAGGGGTCCTTTTTAATATTTCGGCTAATATGCAAGGCTCCTTAACGGGTGCCGTCAAAGTCAATCACCTCGATCTGGTTCTTGCTCCGACACACCGAGATCTTGTGGTCGGACATCAGTTTTGAGATTTATGCTGGTCTACGGAGATAGATCTACTTGAATTCGAGAATCGTAACGAGGAGGAGATGGCGATCACGGCGACGAGATTGGTCTCTCTCACTCTCATGTGGGTCCTCGTCCTGTTCGTTACACTAGCTCTCATTCAGGTGAATTGGTCATTTCTCTTCCGCTTTCTGTTTGTTTCCTGGGAAATTTCAATTTCTAGAATTTGGGTCTCGACGTATTGGTGATTGTTTTGCATTTTCCGTAGATGAAACTGACTGATGTTGGGGCTCCTAAGCTGAATCGGAAGATTGCTGATGCTGATATTGATCAGATCTGTTTTGGTTGAAACGGTATGATTCAGGTGTTGTGATTATTGCTTCTGATGATGGAAATTTATTAGATTTTTTTTTAGGTTGGAGAGAATTTGGAAGGAGTCACCCACAGAGTTTACTTTGACATTGAGATCAATGGATCTCCGGCAGGTACACATGAAACTCTTGTCTGGTCTTTGCATCTGAAGTTTCATTTCCTGTGAACCTCTGCAACCTTTTCGAGTTCTGTTCTTGATTCTCTTGCAGTATGAACCTTTCTAGGATATTGCAACATTAAGCATGTTTATAAGATTGATTGTGCTATGTGAAAGGTGGCATCTTCCATGACTTGGGTCGGCTCTCTGCTATTTGTGATGCTGATACTTTACTGTTTAGGAAGCATTTGGATAGGCTTAACTTTTCTCGGATGGCTTGTCTATTTGGTTGTAGTTAGAATGGTGTCGTGCGGTTAGGCATGTTGAATTTTGAGCTTGAAACATTGCTTCTTTTCCAAATACCTTTTCTCTCGTTCACGGATCTTTGTAACACGTAAAGCCATTGGGTTGAAGCTCTGGAATCTCCGGTCGTTAATGGTGAGTTTGTTCGTTGATCTTCAGGTCGGATTGTCATGGGCCTCTTCGGGGAGATAGTTCCTAAAACCACAGGTTGATTTTGCATTTAAGTGGAGAATCGATCACATTGGTCTTCCCTTCTTGTCCCGGGAGAGTGATTATCATTGCTGAAATCTTAAACTTCTTTTGCAGAGAACTTTCGAGCCCTTTGCACGGGTAGCCAAGTTACTTTTGTTCCCACCTCTTCAACACATAAAGCCCTTTTGCAGTTTGATGTATGATTCTGTTACATTGCAGGGGAGAAAGGACTTGGAAACAGTGGAAAGCCTCTTCATTTCAAAGGAAGCACCTTCCACAGGATCATTCCTAGCTTTATGATTCAGGGTGGTGATTTCACGCGAGGTGATGGTCGTGGTGGAGAGTCTATATACGGCGATAAATTCTCCGACGAAAACTTCAAACTGAAACACACCGGTCCTGGTAACAGGCTTACCTAACTCTAGCCTCGACAAGTTTCGTGTTATGGCTGCTGATCAATAGAGTTGTGAATCCCAGGAGTTTTATCAATGACGAACGCGGGTCCAGACACTAACGGATCGCAGTTCTTCATCACGACTGTCACCACAAGCTGGTATAAGACATGAACATGAAGTTATTATTGTGATCATGGGTTTTAGACGGATCTCGCATTTGAGCATAACCCTTTGTGTGATTTCCGTTTGTAAGGTTGGACGGGCATCATGTTGTGTTTGGGAAGGTCTTGTCGGGCATGGATGTTGTTCACAGGGTCGAATCCCAGGGTTCAGAGAACGGCGTCCCCAAGAACAGAGTCATCATTTCCGAGAGCGGCGAATTAACTCCGTAGATTTTCGAGTTTGTGGAAACTATAACAAACGCCATATGTTTCGATCCATCTAAAATCAAAAGGGTTTGAACGGAAAGATCAACAAGACTTCATCAAGAACACGTTCCGGATCATTGAACAGAATTAGGGTCTTATTGAATGTAGGATTCGGATTGATATTATAACAGGGGAAGAAGGTTGGAAAATGTACATTTCCTTGATTTCAAGTAAACAGGAGAAAGTGCAATCACCACCAATTGTATATTTTTTTTCTATACAAATTAAACACTAATCGTGTATTGTTAAACGTAAGAGCAGAAGAAAGTTCGGTAGCTGTGTAACTTGTAATCTTGTATTGAAAATTCAACTACCATTTTAATGTAAAAACAAATAATTTCATATTCAATTTTGTCGAAAAAATTCATTTTATAAAAACTTATATATGATATAAATTTTACCGTTACAATCGATTAATTTTCGCATTCATGAAGGACTGAATTGAAATAACAGAAAAAAGGGACAAACATACAAAATGAAGATTTTATTATCACAACAGTGGAGGGTTTTTTACTCAAATGATCCATTTGGGTCGCACCTATTTCACGTGTACACCATAAAAAACATAATATATTTTTTTTCTTTAAAAAGACGAAATTAACCTTAATGAATACACGATATTTTATCGGTTCGAAAACAACTTCGTTATTACGATTTCGTAATTAATTCTAAATATAGTTACAATTGATTCTAAAAAAGGTAGCAAAAAAAATCATCGGTCTTATTTTAGTTGTATATCAGTTACATGTTAGTCGTAATAAGATCGCAAAAAATAAAAAGAAAAGGGTATTTTGGATTTTTCCAACCGAAAAGTGGGTTAAAATTGAATTTTTTTTCCGGCAGCGGCGGTAGATTTTCGAGTTTGCAAAAATTAAAGAAACGCCATATGTTCCAGACCATCTAAAATCAAAAGAGTTTGGTCAGAAAGGATCAATGAGACTTCATCAAGAACACGTTTCCGGATCATTGAACAGAACTGGACTTTTATTGAATGTAAGAATTAAGATTCAGATTGAAATCCACAGAATAATTTTGGTACAAGGGCTTTTGCCAGTTTAACAATTGGAATGATGATATTACAACAGGGGAAGAAGGTTGGAGAATGTACATTTCATTGAATCATGTAAGCAGGAGAGAAAGTGCAAAGGTCAAGCATCATCAGCATCACTTCCACCTACATGAGTTCCATGGCTTATCCAGTAGTTGCTTCCATCGGGTCCCGATATCTTAAATCTGTTCGAAATTCAACATAAACCATCTTTTTCCGATCTAACCCTTTACTTTGTTGCGCGAATACAAGGCAAAGCTCACCATCTTGAATCAAATCCATGACATCTATCACTAGATGCTGCCGATCAAATCTAAGGACTGACCTTTCAAGCACCGATTTTCCTTCCTTGTACTTCTGGCTCTTCTCATGGGCCATCTCCTGAAAACGAAACGCCAACCAAAACTCTAGTCACCCACCAGGAATCTCGATCAAAGGCAGAAGAAACGGGGTGATTACTTTCGAGTCTTACATATCTCCAACCGACGATTGATCCACATCCGACGCAGAAAATGTCAGCTACGGTATGTAATCCAGTCATCATCATTCTGTCTTCATTCTCCCCCATCGAAACATTCACACTATCAGATCATCGACGGGAAATAGAAGCAGAGCGATCGTTAGAAGCACGCGATTCCTTCTCAGAATGCAATCTCTACGGTCAACTTAAGGCTATGAGCTTATTGTATACAGCACCCAGAAATATTTAAGTGGTGAATGGATCTACTACTGGTGCCTAAAACAAAATCAGAAGCACTTACACCTTATTGAAGAGATAGGCTTTCCCATGCCTGCAGTGAAAAGACTGAATAAGGGAACACAACACAAAGACACGAACACAATGTCAGTACTTTCTTTAATGACTGAAGCTTGTGTCGGTCTTCTTCCTGAAGGCATCGGAATCTTTACAAGATCGCTGTTCAGAAAACTTCAAAGACTATCTCGACGAACAGCAAATGTGGAGCCACGGCTAAAATTTTCGATTCAAAATTGTCCAAAAGTGAGATTCTTCAAGATCATCCAGCTAAAACACCAGAATGTGATCTAACTAAGATCATTGAAGCTAATCTTCACAGAAGAGGCCAAACCCAGAAAAAATCACGATAATTGATATGTGAAAGAAGAAAGAAGTCTCATACTTGAAGATTTCGATCTTAGATTACAGAGAGAATCCAAATACCAATCAACACTCTACAGATTCAAACTAAGATTTAACACCAAAAACATCAGTTCACAAAACACAATAAACCATTTCTGGGATTTTACCCAATTCATCCCATCTCTCATTTCCTGGAACTGAACACAGCAGCAAAATCACACGCGTGTGAAAATCCAGACTTTTTACACAGAACAATATGAAGTGACATAGCAATAATATATGTATCCGACTTTATCAAAAAATAATATATGTATCCGATCAAACAGAATCCGGGTTTTTCTAGAATCATCGTGAAGGAAGATCCACTCAATCGAACAACATGTATAACTGCAAACCAGACTGAACAGAGGAACACCACAAACCCAGATGAAATTTCGGGGAAATCATCAAGAAGAACACATGGAAAGAAGCTCAGATCAAAGAGACAAAACCTTGGAGATGATGTCTTCGTACACAGCAAGATGGGTCTTACAGTGTTTGCAACTATAGATCTTCCCCTCCAGATTCACCACGAACAGCCTCCCCATCTGGATTAAAAACAAAAAAAACCCTCCGTGTCCGTGAGCCAAATCGAACACAAAACCCCAGAATCAGAAGGTCGACTTAAGCAAAGAAATCGTGAGAAAAAGGGATGGGACTCTGTTCCTTTCTCGTGCAAACTTTATTCTCTCTCATTGCTGTTGTGTAGTTAACAAGAAATGTGGCTGGGGTATTCTCCCATTGATTTCACTTTTATTTTTCTCTTTGGCTTGACGTCGATACATATATGAAAAGTATATTAAAAAAATAAACTACACGTATTTATATATGTATATATAATGAAAAACTGTACAAGCAAGCGTCGTTATCGTTGGTTTCTTGAAAATTTCACATGACAGTTTATAGCCATTATCCACAAAAAGTACAAAGGAATTAGAATAGACATCCGTGTAAGGCTAAGTATATTTAACGATACAAGATTAGTGCTTAATTATTAATAATTTAAGTTTGAAATGTATTCCATTTAATTTGTATAGAGAAAAAAAGTAATTGGTGGTGGTTGGTTGGTTATAGTCTCTAGAAGCAAACCCCTCTAATGATTCGGACCAAACTTTTGTCGCAATAATAGTTGTTTATTTATTTTCATTTTATTATTAAGAAACAAAATTACAAGACATGTGGGGCATCTGCCACTTGCTAAGATTTTATTGGCCTTACGTGGCAATTTTACGAGACGTGTTTCTTGGGTTCGACCTTATAACTAGGATTTAATTAAAGGTTTAACTTTTACACGATTCGATTATATGCCAGATTTATTCACTTTGGACAGGAACAACCATAAACCGTATACAAAAAATGAGATATTATGTTACCTTTGTGATTCTAAAATTCTTCTGAAATTTGCTCTGCTTCCGTCGATTTGTTCACTTTGGACAGTACGACACATGTCTGAAGCCGAGGATTACAACGCTTTGATTCCATGACATGAAGAATCTTCAGACACAGATCTGAATTATCATATGCTAATAAACCGTCAACCAATATCGTCCAAGACATTATCATCGTAGTTCTAATTTTCTGCCTCCTATATCCGGTACCTAGTTCCACCGAGTACCATGACTACCAATGAAGAATGTAAGAAAAAAATGAAGAATTTAGAAAATTTCAGGTATGAGAAGAATGGGCGAGAACACGAAATCAAGTTATTATATAGTAAACATGATTATAGGTATAAATTAATGTATGTATTTATTATAAATAAAAAAATCTGTAAAAACTATATTTATAAAACATTAAAGTTAATTGATTCTAATTATTATTTACATAAACATCAGTTACGTAAATGTATTTAATAATAAATAGATAAAGGAATGTCACCTAGAAATTCTATAAACGATATCATAATTATTAATTAATTAATTTAGATATTAATAAATTTTTAATAGAAACATTTAGAATCCTGAAAATTATGTGATATTAGAAACAAATAAATGGAGATATATGAACCAGTTGGTATAGATATTAAATACGGAATCCGTATTAAACTCCTGTGTTAATACGATGATATAATGAACGCTATTCACTCATGAATCTTAACCTTTTTTATGTTATGTTTTAATTGAAAATTTATTACTTTATTGATTGAAAATATCGGAATGAAAAGATAAGAATGTATAAAAAAAAATTTCTATTCTTATTAGGAGACACCTGTGATTCACCTATGCAATATGTGTATATGTATATGTATATATATGATGATGATGATGTTAATCAGAAAACCAATTTAATAGCAGTTGAGATTAAACCGGATAAAACTGATATCAATTTCGATTGCAATTCATATCCTTTCCAGAACAGATTATTTTTTTAACGTTTTCCATATTTTTTATTGTTGTCGTAGGCAATATTTTTAAAAGATGCAAATGTCAAGTCGGGCCAAACCAAAACATCAAATTCAAACAAAATAAACTGGGCCTTTTGTAAAATAACATAAAATGGGCCTACCAATTATTTTTTGATAGGTTGAATTTAGCTAGGGTTGTCTTCATGAGTTAAACGCCCCTCGGATAAATACCCTTGTTGTTACCACTCCTCTCTTCCGACGGTGATCCTTGTTGCTGCTGCTCATCGCCACTGTCATGAGGATCTTTGATGTTGGGTTGGTGAAGAAAATCTCTCTCTCTCAGAGGTATTGGAATGGAGAGTCATGTTTAAGCATCGTATCTGTTCATCCGGTTTTCTTTCTCATCTTTTTCTTTTTTTTCTTTTCTTTGTTGTGTTCTCCGGATTCTGATGTAATGTTTATGTTTGATAAATTGAATTTAGGCCCAAAGCCCAAATAATGATGAGAGCCCAGGGTTGCCCTTCATGATTTTAGCACCCCTCGGACAAACCCTTGTTGTTACCACGACGGCGATCGGGGGAGGTGAAGAACCAGAGAGCTTCGGGTTCGAAAATGGTACTGTGTCTTGTTTCTCGTCTTTGTCGTTCTGTTACTGCAATCGGAGATGGCGATGACCGCAGGCGGCGGTGGCCGGCCGGAGGCTTACGATCTCTTAGTGTGTCGGGAGAGAGAGCGGTTGCCTAGAGAGGGATATCTCAGCAAAAAAGTTCAGGTCTGTCCCTTTCTTTCTATGCATTTTTCTTACGGTTTTTTGTCTGTGTATGTATATGTGTATACATATATCGGGGGCGAACGGTCTCTGACACTAACAAACCGATTCTATAGGTATAGGCTCTATATAACGAGCTCTTCTTCTTCTTCTTCTTTTTGTTAAAATACTCTTCTCACTCTCTTATTCTTTCTTTTTCTGCTGCTCCTCCTCATGATGAACTTGTTGGTGAAGAAAATATCTCCGTCTCGGATGTGTGGGAATGGGAGAGTCATATATAGTCATTGCATCCGTTCATCCGGTTCTCTCCTTCCTCTCTCCTTCATCTTTTTCTTTTCTCTTCTTTGTTGTTTTCTCTGGGTTTCTGGGATTCTGATACAATTTTTATATTTCGGACAGGTAATGGTATCTCGGTTCCTCCTCCGTCAAACAACAATCCGACAAGTGACCAATCTAAAGGTAGCCCATCCTTTTCTTTTCTCTCTCTCTCTCCCTCCCTCCCTCAGACAAATGAGCTATTTTATGTATATGGAACTTCTCGAAAGGTATCTGGACCAAAGTGGCTTCTGTCGCCAAGAAAGGCGTCGATGGGTTTAAGAGCGATATGAAACGTGAGATATGTTGTGGCTTGAGGGATGAGTTCAAGGGGGAAATACAGGGTCTGAAAGATGATATTAGCAAGCTTAGGGATGATATATACCACATCAAAGTGGATGTTATGGAGCTCAAACTGAAGAACCAGATGCAATCCATGATGAGGGACATCAAAGCGGATGTTATGGAGCTCAAACTGAAGAACCAGATGCAACCCATGATGAGGGATCTGAGAGCAGATGTTATGAAGTTGAAGACAGAAGGTGAGTTGATATTAACGTGTATTTTTAAGTACAGACAAATTTTTAGTTTCTAATTGTATTTATGCTTGTATCAGTGGGTCAAAATAAGATGGTTCAGAACCAAATGGTGAAGAAGATGATTTCACCTTGCCAAACAGGTCTGTTAGGCTCCTTCATTAAGCTCGTTATGTGGGTGTTGGGTATGTGAGGATTGTGTTGCGGTATTTGATATGATACCTGGTCTGTTGAAACTACGTTTTATAACCAAATTACAGCCTACCCTTTTCATGGCATCCATCGATTCTTTAGCGTGTGTGCATGCATCTAGGTGTTTAGGCATTTGCATATATCACATATATGGCCTTTGTGTTTACATGATTCGATCCAATCGTTTCAATACCAATTCAAACGTTTGCAAATCCACGACGACCCAGATAATACAACTTACAGAAACTAACACCCAATAAAGAGATTCTGATGGAGGAAGAGATTGCTTCAACTTGCCGGTCTTCTCTTGGCCAAACACGCATATATGAAAAGTATGTTAAAAAAATAAACTACACGTATTTATATATGTATATATAGTTCGTTCGAGAAAATGAAAAACTGTACAAGCACGTACAAAGGAATTAGAATAGACATCCGTGTAAGGTTAAGTATGTGTAAGGTTAAGTATAAAAACGGATTTTTTATATATATCTATAATTTATTATAAGTATATTTTTGTATAAATTGGAAAATTTCTAATATATAATGTATATATATTATCTTAATATGAAAGAGTTAACGTTTGTGAATTAGGTTATAACTATTGTTATTTAATGGACATTCAAACTATATCTAGTAATTTTCTATATATATATATAATAAAAAAAAGTAATAAAAATATATCCCTAACAAAATTTACTAACCAATTTTTGTAAAAATACCATAAATGAGCCCATCAATTTTTTTTTTATAAGTTGAATTTAGGCCCATGAGAGTCAAGTTTCTAGGGTTGTCTTCTTGATTTTAACGTCCCCTCAGACGTCTCTCTTCCGACGGCAATCCTTGGTGCTACTGCTGTGCTCATCACCACCACTGTCATGAGGATCTTTACAGCTAGATTGGTGAAGAAAATCTCTCTCTCTCAGAGGTGTTGGAATGGGAGAGTCATGTTTCAGCGTCGTATTTGTTCATCCGGTTCTCTCCTTCATCTTTTTTTTTTTTTTTTTTTTTTTTTTTTTTTTGTTTTTTAGATTCTGATGTAATGTTTATATTTCTGACAGGACATGGCGTCCTTATTCCTCAACCAAACAACAATTCGGTAGCGGTCCAGCCTAAAGGTAGAGGACCTCCATCTTTTATTTTCTCTGTGTCTCTTTTGCCGGACAAATGGGCTAAATGCTGTTTCATGGATCTGAGACTTGTCCACAGATAGCTGTGATGGGAAGAAAGGCATCGATGGATTTAAGGATGATATGAAATATGAGATATATGATACCCTGAGGGGTGAGTTCAAGGGGGAGATAAAGGGTGTGAGAGATGATATCAGGAAGATCATGGATGGTATGAGCCACATCAAAGCTGATGTTATGGAGCTCAAACTGAAGGAGGAGATGGAGGATATGAGAGCGGATGTTATGAAGCTGAAGAGTGAGATGGAAGGTGATATTAAGGTGTATTTTTAAGTACAGAAAAATCTTTAGTTTCTAATTGTATTTATGTTTGTCTCAGTGGGTCAAGAGAAGACGGATCAGAGCCAAATGGAGAAGAAGATGATTTCAGCTTGTCGAGTGTGCCTGTTAGGCTCCTTCATTGCCCTAGACATTAAGCTCGTTATGTGGGTGTTCGGTATGTGAGGATTGTGTTGCGGTATTGATATTATACCTAGTCAGTTGAAACTGCGTTTATAACCTAATTATTTAAAAGATATTTATATTTGTTACTCTATAAATCTATCTTAAATCTTATGTGGATGGGAAGAGGCTTGATATGTTATTGTTGTTTCGGAAGAAAACGAAACAAAGACTTGTGTTTTCGTAATAGCCATAACTCCTTTGATCTTATTAAACAGAAATAAGAAATTGAATCTAGGTTTTTATAACCCATAAGACTCGAGTACCAATTCAAAACAAATAACTAAACTAGAAAACAGTCAAGGTACGACCTTTTAGTAGATATGTTCTTTCGTCAACCTGAGTGGATTAGATTAAAATCAACTTTCTCAATGTATCATGATGAGAGAATTCACTCCTTACCTTTGGTTCTAAAACTTTTATTTACATCTGATAGAACAACGTTGTAATATAAACCGATAATGTATTGATTCGGAAAAAAAACACCAATACAAGATGAGAGTTGATTATTGTGAGACTCTCCCTCACCCCCTTTACCTTGCACTTTCAGATCACAAAATGCATACCCAACCCAAAAGACTACTAGCATATATATATACGAGATGGCTATACACACAAAAGGTGCCAATCCCCATACAACCGTAGCAGAGAGCTATAATCCTAGTAGGTAATTACAATACCCCTAATACCTCTTCTCCAGTGCCACCTGTCATCTTTTTCCCAACGAATTGCTTCTCTGTCTCTCCCTTGCCTCCCTCCACGTGGCCTTTGCTGATCTTTCTCCTCACATAAGCCCGAAATGGTGTATCAACATCCTCAGGCCAAATATGATGATCAGAACACAGTAGCACCGAAGCTCTTGTGAAATTTTCTGGATGATGAATTTGTTGAAAGATCATTGAAGCTAATCTTCACTGAAGAGGCCAAACCCAATAAAGAGATTCTGATGGAGGAAGAGATTGCTTCAACTTGCCGGCTTTCTCTTGGCCAAACACGCATCGAGTGCAGAGGTACTTGGTGACTTCGTTGCTCCTCTTGATCTGCGCAGACCTTGCATCCTTCCTCCTAGCTCTCCTTAATCTCACTGATTTGCTTAGGCTGCATTTCACAAGCACACGCACACATCGAACAAATTTTCATCCCGTCAGTACCACAACCGTAGAATGTCGAATGAAGTTCCCTTGTGCATAAATATGAGACAACTTTCCTCGACGATACAACAATACTCCAGCAATGTGAACACATGTCAATTGTATGCCAATTATCAAATAAAGCTTGTTGCTTGCATTGAAGGGCAGATGGAGATATTCCTTCTTTGGTTTGTACAGAAGCATGATGTAAGGCGTGAAGTGAAGCTGCAAAGACAGAACATTGCAAGAGTAAACAAAAAACTAGTAAAGTGACAAAAGAGGGTGTGATCATAAACCCCTGTTCACAAGAGAAACTGAAACTCAATTATGTGAGGTTCCATAAGCCTAAATGCGATGTAAAGGTTATGCACCCACTTTCCAACATCCCACCATGTTGTTCAACAGACCGATGAGGACTTCAATCTGAAACACACCGGTCTTGGTAATAGGCCTACCTACCTGTAGCTTCGGCAAGTTTCGTGTTATGGATGCTGATCAACAGAGTTGTGAATTCCAGGAGTTCTATCATTGGCAAACTCTGGTCCAGACACTAGCGGATCTCACTTCTTCATCACGACTGTCACCACAAGCTGGTATAAGACATGAACATGGAATTGTCAATGTGATTATGGGTTTAAGACAGGTCTCGCACTGGAGCATAACCCTTTGTGTGATTTCTGTTTGTGAGGTTAGATGGACATCACGTTGTGTTCGGGAAGGTCTTGTCGGGCATGGATGTTGTACACAAGGTCGAATCCCAGGGTACAGAGAGAACGGCGCGTCCCCAGAAACAGAGTCATCATTTCCGACAGCGGCGAATTAATCCTGTAAAGAAACGCCATATGTTCCAGACCATCTAAAATCAAAAGAGTTTGGTCAGAAAGGATCAATGAGACTTCATCAAGAACACGTTTCCGGATCATTGAACAGAACTGGACTTTTATTGAATGTAAGAATTAAGATTCAGATTGAAATCCACAGAATAATTTTGGTACAAGGGCTTTTGCCAGTTTAACAATTGGAATGATGATATTACAACAGGGGAAGAAGGTTGGAGAATGTACATTTCATTGAATCATGTAAGCAGGAGAGAAAGTGCAAAGGTCAAGCATCATCAGCATCACTTCCACCTACATGAGTTCCATGGCTTATCCAGTAGTTGCTTCCATCGGGTCCCGATATCTTAAATCTGTTCGAAATTCAACATAAACCATCTTTTTCCGATCTAACCCTTTACTTTGTTGCGCGAATACAAGGCAAAACTCACCATCTTGAATCAAATCCATGACATCTATCACTAGATGCTGCCGATCAAATCTAAGGACTGACCTTTCAAGCACCGATTTTCCTTCCTTGTACTTCTGGCTCTTCTCATGGGCCATCTCCTGAAAACGAAACGCCAACCAAAACTCTAGTCACCCACCAGGAATCTCGATCAAAGGCAGAAGAAACGGGGTGATTACTTTCGAGTCTTACATATCTCCAACCGACGATTGATCCACATCCGACGCAGAAAATGTCAGCTACGGTATGTAATCCAGTCATCATCATTCTGTCTTCATTCTCCCCCATCGAAACATTCACACTATCAGATCATCGACGGGAAATAGAAGCAGAGCGATCGTTAGAAGCACGTGATTCCTTCTCAGAATGCAATCTCTACGGTCAACTTAAGGCTATGAGCTTATTGTATACAGCACCCAGAACTATTTAAGTGGTGAATGGATCTACTACTGGTGCCTAAAACAAAATCAGAAGCACTTACACCTTATTGAAGAGATAGGCCTTCCCATGCCTGCAGTGAAAAGACTGAATAAGGGAACACAATACAAAGACACGAACGCAATGTCAGTACTTTCTTTAATGACTGAAGCTTGTGTCGGTCTTCTTCCTGAAGGCATCGGAATCTTTACACGATCGCTGTTCAGAAAACTGCAAAGACTATCTCGACGAACAGCAAATGTGGAGCCACGGCTAAAATTTTCGATTCAAAATTGGTAGCTTATTAGCTTTCAGCACTCAGCTTTTGTCCAAAAGTGATATTCTTCAAGATCATTCAGCTAAAACACCAGAATGTGATCTAACTAAGATCACTGAAGCTAATCTTCACTGAAGAATCACTTTAATTGATATGTGAAAGAAGAAGTCTCAGACTTGAAGATTTCGATCTTAGATTACAGAGAGAATCCAAATACAAATCAATTCTCTACAGATTCAAACTAAGATTTAACACCAAAAACATCAGTTCACAAAACACAATAAACCATTTCTGGGATTACCCAATTCATCCCATCTCTCATTTCCTGGAACTGAACACGGCAGCAAAATCACACACGTGTGAAAATCCAGACTTTTACACAAAACAATATGAAGTGACATAATATAAGTATCCGATTAAACAGAATCTGGGTTAAAGGAAGATCCACTCAATCGAACAACATGCATAACTGTAACCAGATTGAACAGAGGAACCACAAACCCAGATGAAAATGCCGGGAAATCGTCAAGAAGAACACATGGAACGAAACTCAGATCAAAGAGACAAACCTTGGAGATGATGTCTTCGTACACAGCAAGATGGGTCTTACAGTGTTTGCAACTATAGATCTTCCCCTCCAGATTCACCACGAACAGCCTCCCCATCTGGATTAACAACAAAATAACCTCCCTCTCCGTGAGTCAAATCGAACGTAAAACCCCAGAATCAGAAGGTCGAATTAAGCAAAGAAATCGATATCTGCGTGAGAAAAAGGGATGGGACTCGGTTCCTTTCTCGTGCAAACTTTATTCTCTCTCATCGCTGTTGTGTAGTTAACAAGAAATGTGGCTGGGGAAGGTATAACGTATTCTCCCATTTATTTCACTTTATTTTTCTCTTCGGCTTGAAAAGTATATTAAAAGAAAATAAACTACACGTATATATGTATATATATTTATGTGTGTGTATATATAGTTAGTTCAAGTTAGCGAGAAAATGAAAAACTGTTCAAGCAAGCGTCGTTATCGTTGGTTTCTTGAAAATCTCACATGACAGTTTTTAGCCATTATCCCACAAAAAGTACATAGGAATTAGAATAGACATCCGTATAAGGCTAAGTACGTTTAATAATACAAGATTAGTGCTTAATTATTAATAATTTAACTTTGACATGTATTCCACTTAATTTGTACAGAGAAAAAAAGTAATTGGCGGTGGTTGGTTATAGTCTCTAGAAGCAAACCCCTCAAATGATTCGGACCAAACTTTTGTCACAATAATCGTTGTTTATTTATTTTCATTTTATCATTGAGAGAAAAAAATGATAAGATGTTTGTGCTGCATCTGCCACTTGTTAAGATTTTATTGGCCGTCTTTTGTCATTACGTGGCAAATTTACGAGACATGTTTCTCGGGTTCGACCTTATAAATAGGATTTAATTAAAAGGTTTAACTTTTACACGACTCGGTTATATATATATATTATTCTTTCGCTAATCTCATCTCTGATACCCTTTATTTCTGTTCTATCAATAATCACCATATCAGTATCGGGGATTGCCGCCATACACTTGCCAAATACATGAACGAGGTATTGATGTAAGTTTATTGGGCCAGAAAATGGGCCTGGTCTGGGCCCAAAACGAGCACCTAGATGGTGAACTCGATTTGCCCTCTCATCTCTTGAATCTTTATATATATATTTGTTTTCGTTTAATGGCGATGAATATTGCAGTATTGCCTGAAAGGGAGTGTTGTATCTCTGTATTCTCGTCAATCTCGCAGTTGGTGCTCATGGGAAGGTGATCTCCTTCTTCCCCTCTTTTTGTTTTTCTTTCTTCAATCCGCTAATCGCATGCAATGGAAACATGCCCTCCAACGCCAAAGAAGGGAAATCTTGTTCATAAGAGCCATTGATGTAAAAAGGGCAAATTACAGTTTGTATATGGTTCGTTCACGCCATTTGAGTCATATGATCATTTAGTCCGAGTTTTTTCTAGGATTCACATTGGAATTTGGGTAAAAACAGGGGATCCTGGAGAGATTGCCGACAAAACCCCACCGAAACGGGTGAATGGGACAGAAGCCGTAGAAAAGGAGATGAGAGAGATGAGGCGGGAGATGGGTATGGCGATGGCCAAGTTACAGGAGGCGTCCAAATCAAACGAGGATTTGATTACAAAGCTCAAGGAAGATATGAAGAGAGATACCGAGGCACTGCTGACGATAGCGACTTGGGCGTTGGTTATTTATTTGGTCTTCGGTAATAAAGCAGCGGTCGGATTCTCGATACTCCTTTTGTTTATTTTAATCGTCACTAATTAATTGCAGGCGATAAGTTCAAATTTATAATGCAGTTTTCTTTCGGTATCTTTGAGACCCAAAAAAAAAATGGTAAAAAGTTTGGTTACAACGTGAATCGAATATGATATTTCCATGTGTTAGTTAAGCTTCGTTTGATGCATGTCACGTGCCTTGCCCCTTTTTCTGTAATTATCTGCACAAAATTATTCAAAATTCCAGTTTTTGGAATGGCGTGTAACAGAATGTACGTACAATCGCATGCATGCTTGATGCGTGAGGATTCGTACGGACTCTGATTATCACCGTATACACATGCCCCCAGTGCGACAAATTTTGAATTTCAATTGCTGTTTTACAGCCATTTGTTCATTGTTTTATGTGAACTGAAATCAGAACCTCATCGTTAAAGAAAAATAAATTTTAGGCCTTAAATGGTTGCAGTTTTGGGAGTTTTTAGAATCTAAAAACCAAAAAAATTATCATTCAAATTTTTACAAAATTACTTTTCCTAAAAACTTTGAAACCCATCTTAATGTAAAAATCAATGAAAAACCAAAAACTACTTTTTTTAGTTTTCAAATATTATAGAATGCAAAATCAAAAAACCAAAAACTAAAAACCAAAATCCAAAATCGTAAATAAAAAACCCAAAATAAAAAGCATCTCTAGCCTTAATTATTTTTTATTTATATTGATAATTGAATGAATTGAAATTTTAGAATTTAATTTTTAATCTGGATTTATAGTATAAAACACTAAAAAATAATTTAGTTTGATGAGATAAGGAAATATGGGCATCAAATATCTGTCTCACAAATTCCTTTTGTTACGCTTTCACCACAATCCCGCCGTGCAGCCGAAGCTTATTTTTCTTTTACTAAATTTATTATTAAATTAGACAACAAAAAAAAACTCGAAGATGTAAATACACACACCCCAAAACGAAGGTGTATATACACACACAAGTTGCCATCTCACGACAAATTCACAAACAACGGAGAGAATATGCGGATCCTCGCGACTCGCCTCGCTAACGTAAATCTCCGATTGTTCGATCGTATATCTTCAACCTTTTTTTATTCTCTTCCCTTAATCTATTGATTTGTTTTCGTTTAATGGCGATGAATATTGCAGTATTGTCTGAAAGGGAGTGTTGTATCTCTCTATTCTCATCAATCTCGCAGTTGGTGTTCATCGGAAGGTCTCTCTCCTTCTCCTCTTTTATCGTGCTTTTCTTTTCCCGGAGATTTCTTCTCTAAATGTGTCAAAAACAGGAAATGATGGAGGGGTTGAAGAGAGAACAAGCAGAACCCCATGGAAACGGTTGAGTGCAGTAGAAGAGGAGATGAAGGAGATGAGAAGACAAATGAGCATGATGATGACCAAGCTAGAGGAAGTGTCCATGGATAAACAAGGTTCGATCACAAAGCTACAATCCCTCTTGGTATGGTGGATTAGGGTTTTTGGTGTTATCTCACGGAATTTGTGTAAAAAAAACAGGAAATCACGGAGAAGCTGAGGAGATAAAAGAGATGAGACGACAAATGAGTATGATGATGACGAAGCTAGAGGAAGATTCCTTAGAGTTCAGAAAACCCAATACGGCGCAAAACCCAGTCGATAGTCCTCAAGAATCCTCTCCGAGCGAAGGTAAAGAGAAATCCAAAGGAACAACGACGTTCGAGGTTGGTGTGATTTTTGCGCTCTTGTTGTTTATGTCCCCTCTGTTGCTGCATTTCCCGTCTCCTTTGGCTCCTCTTTTAATGTTGTTCATATTGTGTGTTGCGCTTGGCCGTCTGTAGACGATGGTTAGAACCATGTAGGAAACTCCCTATCCAAGGGCTTTCGCTTGCGTTGGAAACATACATGAGCCCTCATGCCTTTTTTCCGGTTTTTTATTCAAACAGAAAAGTATATTTGATTTGGAGAAAAATAAAATCCCATCAGAGAATGGGGCATATTCACAAAACATGCCACCATCAATTGATTTGGTGGGCGACCCGAGTGGATCCGAGTAAGACAGGGCCCATTAGTCGGGCAATCGCAACAAAAAGACGTTAATGTTGAGCAAGCATGGGCCCCATCGGCCCAAAAATAAAGAGTGGGTTCCACTATCGGGTGACACGTCTACTATTAGTTTCGACCCGATGCCCTCGGTATGTTAATAAATGATGATGATGATGTAAGTTCAAAAAAAAAAAAAAGCTGTCAGATAAGGAAAGAGTATGTTAATTAAGGATTTCAATCCACGCACGGGAAGGGATGATAAAAGATGGGTTTTTTTTTTTTGAAAGATTAAATAAAGAATAATGTATTTTCTTTCATCAAATAAATATATAAGAACGGTTCTTGGGATGGTACGTTTGAAATCAGCGAATTGGTCCGGGACCCAACATTAAAAATGTAAAATGATTAAATGGGACTTAAGGGAAAAAAATATCAAAATCAAACCGTTCATCGAAATTTTATTTTTCAGTTATTACATATCATTAATTAGAATTTCAAAATCAGTTTTTGAAATACTTTGTTTCATTATTTGTATATCATTGCTAATTTTATAATTAATAAATAAAAATATAATTTTTATTTTTATATGGTGGTTGCAATATATATATTTTTTTGATAGTGTTGTACTACATTATACCTGCTTATATCTATGCGTAATTATCGATTATAATAATCATAATAATAATATTATTATTGTTGTTGTTGTTGTTATGGTTGTTGTTGTTGTAGGATAGAAAAATGTACGAAAATTGCTAAAGAAATTCCGATTAAACGAGTTACTAATTATTCTCCAAATATAAGTAGTAGATACTTTTTCATATACATTTTTTAATTGATAAAAAAATGTTTTTCAAATTTTGTTTATGAAGCATTTTTAATTTTTTTTTTAATTCTGACATATCATCAGAGTTTATATTCATTCAATAGTCAGATTCTATTATTCTATTATTGAATTGACGATGTTAAATGTCATGTTGTTGTGTGAAAACCGTATATCGAGTTTATGATTTAATGTGAGACATTAGGCAAAATATATTCGAGATAAATTTTATTTGATTATAATGTAAAGATCAAATTCTTTTGATTCATTATGTTTTTTGTATTTATGATAAATATCCAAAACCGCACCAAACACATAGAAGTCGATTGTCAGTTTTTCCGTCATCATATCACTGACAACACAATTATTACTCGCCATCTCGACCTTCCATCAATTTGCAGATATTTTTACAAAAATGTTTGGCAAAAAAAAACTCGTATGTTTTTGGATAAATTGAGCATAATGATATCTATACTCCAATTTAAGATGGATAATATGATTTATATATCTATAATTATGCATCTCATAATTTTTTTTCAAACCTTGACAAATTATAAGATAATGATCTTTGTTTTAATTGATAATGAAGTGAATTTAAGTAGATATATAGTTTTTTTATTAGAAATTGTAATATTATAATAAATCACAACTAAATAAAAAAGACAAAGTTCATGTTTTTTTTTTGTCATTGCTCCAAAACATGATAATATGTAAAAAATAAAATCATTTTAAAATATTCACGTGCTCTTTCTTGGTTCCACTTCCACATCTCTCGCGTTGGTGATGTTTTTGGCGTCTTTACTTGATAGAGAAAAACGTGTAAATGTAAAAACAAGGTTGGTCAAAGAAATGAAGAAAAAAGATCTTTCTTATTATTATTATTATTATTATTATTATTATTATTATTATTAGAGATGGACAAAATAACCGAACCTGAAATAAGCGAACTGAATCCGATCGATATATACCCGAACCGAACCGATTAAAATAATATACCCGATTGATATGCATATTCAAATCCGAAATATCCGAACCCGAAATAACTATAAACCGAATAAACCGAACCCTAATTAATCATAACCGAATATATCCGTCTATCCATCCATATATCATCAATTAATATGTAATACATTCTAAATCTAATTAGAAAAATTAGTACAATGATATTGTTTTATAACCATGGTATATAAAAAAATGAAATATGCGTGTATTTTAATGTTGTTTTTGTTATTTTTATAAGATAATTGTTTGAGTTTTTTTATTATTTTTTGTTTGGATAACCCGAACCGATCCGATCTGAACTCGAACCAAATCGATTAAAAAAAATATACTCGATTAGATATGAATATTTCAATTCGAAATACGCGAAACCTGAAATAACCGAATCCGCTCGATCGCCCACCCCTAATTATTATTACTACTACTATTAAGGGAAACACAAAAAGTAGGAATAGAATTGAATTTCCATGTTTGAGTTTGGCATTACTCATCATATCATATAACATCGAAATCTAAAGGAGATAACAAAAAAAACAAAAAAAAAACTAATATACTCAACTGCTGAGAAGATTGTTAAAACATAAGATCCATATTTTTTATTCATCATCATTTTCTGATTAGTTTTAACATTTTGAATGATTTACTGATTAGTTTTATTTTGATTTCTAATTTTGTCTAGTTTGATATTGGATTGGTATTTTTGTCAACCAAGAAATTGGGTTGAATAATACTATATATATATATATATAATTGTGAATCTTATATATATAAGATAATTATTTTTATTTATAATGATAATCGAATGAATTTTAATTTATAATTTAGTTTTTTTATTTCGATTTATAATAAAAATTACCAAAAAAATAAAACCGTCCGTAGAGCAAGGCTTACCTGCCCTTAAGACTCGGGGTTAGTTGGACCCTTTAATACGAAAACTTTTATTTTTTTTGTATTTTAAATTATATATTTGATGAGATAAAGAAATATGCGCAACAAATCTCTACCTCAAAAATTCCTTTTGTTATGCTTTCACCAGAATCTCGCCCGTGCTGCCCAATCTTATTTTTTTTATTTGATTTATAATTTAATTAGATAAAAAAAAACTCAGACATATATACACACACCAAATTAACGAAGTGTTGAAGACACGATTATCAAACACGTGATAAACGTCCAAAGGTTTTCCATGGATTGCATGGAGCACCCAAAGATTGTAACCAAGTCACCATGCAACGTCACTCATGGATAGACGGTGCTAAATCACCTCATATAATCAATCAACACATTACCAACAGGAGACAATCAAGACTATTTCCATAAGAGCTCCACCTTCCATATTCTCAATAGCCGTTGGTCCTCTTTCCTTTTGTATTTAAATTCCATTATGGTGACAAATAAGATTTGCTCTCCATTTACGATAGTTTACATTATTTCTTGATATTATATCCGTTACGCTCTTGTATATAAATATAGTTTTATATTGATGTAAATTAATAAGAAAAATATAAGGGATAATGTCCCAACTTATGCAAATATTTTCGGTCATCACTTCTTCTTCTTTATTCTAGTTCAATTATTTTTATTCTTCTCTTCATAATCAAACACCAAAACACACAAAAGTTACATGGTATCAGAGCATAAGTTCCAGAGGACCTTGTGTTTTTCGTTCCGCTGCAAAATCAAAGCATATTCCCTCTCGATTTTGAATATATCGAAGAGGATCCTGCTCGTTTTATACATACATATTTTTTTTGTCCCTTTTAGGCCATTCATTCAAGCCAAAAGGAGGTTTTTCTTAAAGTGTTTCGTTGGCCTTTCATTCAAGCCACGATCCACCACTCTCTACAATAATATGTGGAGTTCTTGGGATAGTTGTTATGGTCCTTTAGAAGATGAAGAAGGTAATCATTTCACCTACATCGAGAATGAAAACGGCGAGGTAGAACAAATATGGTCAACCAAGGAAGAGGTGGAAGCATTTCAGGTGCTTTCTATCGAAGACCTCCAAGCAATGTGTATGGATGAAGAACCATACCTAGAAGAAGATTGTGAGAGAGGATGGGATGTACAAGAAGACATCCTTGATCAACTCCCATTACAAGTCAAGGAGGCTTTGTTCACATACCTCCAAGAACACAATATTCGGTTAACTTCTCCACTCATTGAATTTCTTTTTAATTCTAATGAGTTTGTTGACGTAATTAAGGAAACCATGAAGAAACTACAAAAAGCTCGATCTACATGGAGACTTTGGCGCCGGATACAAACAAAGAGGAAGAAAAAGTACAAGGTGAATCGGTTGTCATATTGGAGGATCTAACAAAGGAGGAGAAGAACCCCGGAAAAGAAACCCAAATGAGCATATATCCCTTTCCATCTCTTACACAAAATCCGAGAACTACTATCATGTGGTTACAAGATAGAGTTTGTAGTCCCTTCCTTTGCCCTATTCAAATCGATATCTCTTTCGCAAATAATATGTTGGGTTGTTTAAGTGTTTTTGAACAGAACATGAAAATAAATTCCATGAAGAATTATTGTATAGAGAAGTCTACGAGTGAGGGGAATGTGATGGAACCCTCATACACTTCTCTAACACAAAGGCCACGACACATGAGGAAACATCAAGATAAACATTTGAGCAAAATTATAAGGAGATGTTCCCTATAAGTTTCAACAAATCTAGACTCGGTAACTCTCTTTCATTTATCTTTAAGATCTTATATGATACATTTGAAGTTTATGATAAACACTTAGTATACCTTGAGAAAATGGCATTAAAACTTGCATATTATCACACTAGAATACTATTTTTGTTACTCTTTGATATGAAAAATGTAGAAAAGTTTAAATTAAAATTTATTTCAAAACGGAGTGCTACGGCCTCCCTTATGTTTACTAACACGTTCTTTGAGTGGATGCAGAAAATAAAGCTGAAAGTGGCATATATTCAGCTCATGAAATCAAAGGAACTATCGTTGAAAAAGAAGGAACGCTTGAGCACGAATCAACACAATCAAAAAAGCATTCGTTTTTCAAGATTGGTTTTTCGAGATTCTTTCAAACCAATCTTGAAGGGGAATGTTGAAGACACGATTATCAAACACGTGATAGACGTCCAAAGGGTTTGCATGGAATGCATGGAGCACCCAAAGATTGTAGCCAAGTCACCAGGCAACGTCACTCATGGATGGAATATTCTAGACGGTGCCAAATCACCTCATATAATCAATCAACACATTACCAACAAAAGACAATCAAGACTATTTCCATAAGAGCTCCACCTTCCATATTCGCAATAGCCGTTGGTCCTCTTTCCTTTTGTATTTAAATTCCATTATGGTGACAAATAAGATTTCTCTCCATTTAGGATATTATACATTATTTCTTGATATTATATATCCGTTACCCTCTTGTATATAAATATAGTTTTATATTGATGTAAATTAATAAGAAAAATATAAGAGACAACGTCTCAACTTATGCAAACATTTTCGGTCATCACTTCTTCTTCTTTATTCTAGTTCAATTATTTTTGTTCTTCTCTTCATAATCAAATACCAAAACACACAAAAGTTACACGAAGATGGTGAATTGAAATATAAATTGCCATCTCACAACAAATTCACAACAATCGAGAGAACATGCGGATCCTCACGACTCGACTCGCTAACACTACAAAAAAACCTACATATAGCGACGAAATTTGCGACGGAATGTGACGATTTTACGACAGAATGTGGAAAAAAATTATCCATCGCAAACAGTCGCAAAATTCGTCGCAATTTGCTACGGTTTGCGATGGATAATTTTGTCACAATAAAGAAATAGATTATTTGCGACGGAAAATAAAAATTGCGACGAAATATTCCGTCGCAATGTATTTGGTTTCGTTTTTCGACGAAATTTTTTGAATTTTGGGCGCGTAAATTAATTTCATTTTGTGACGGATTGCGACGGAAAATTCCGTCGCAAAACGCAATATAAAACCACGAGTCGTCTTCTTCATCAGACTTCAAAGATTTCCGAAAAAAAAACTAAAAATCGCCAAATTTCTTCTAAATCTCTCCAAAGGTCGCCAAATTTCTCCCATAAGGTAATATATATGTATTTATGTATATATATGTGTGTGTTCGTGTTTGTGTGTGTTTATGTATGTGTATGTGTGTGTAAGTGAATGTGTATATATGTGTGAATGTGTATGTGTGTGTTTATATATGTGTGTAAGTGAATGTGTATGTATGTGTGAATGTGTATGTGTGTGTGTTTATGTATGTGTATGTGTATATGTATGTGAATGTGAATATGTATGTGTATGTATATGTGATTGTATGTGTATATGAATATATGTGTATATGTGTGTGTTTATATGTATGTGTATGTGTTTGTGAAATGTATATGTGTATGTGTTTGTGAAATGTATATGTATATGAGTATTTATGTATGTGTATATATGTGTGTATATGTGTATATGTGTGAATGTGTATGTGTGTTTGTGTATATATGAATGTGTATATGAAAATATATGTGTATATATATGTATGTGTATGTATATTTGTATGTGTGTAATGTATGTGTATGAATGTATGTGTATATAGGTGTATACGCAAAACGCAGATTTTTTCCGTCGCAAGAACCGTTATACGTTTGCGACAGCGCTATAGCGACGGAAATAAATCCGTCGCATTCCGTCGCATTCCGTTTGCGACAGCGCTACATAACTATTTTTTTGTAGTGTAATGTAAAAATCTCAAATCGCTTCCCTTCTCTTGATCTCTATAGTTTTTGTTTGTGTGTGTTTTAATGGCGATGAATACTGCAGTATTGCCTGAAATGGAGTGTTGTATCTCTGTATTCTCGTCAATCTCGCAGTTGATGTTCATGGGAAGGTCTCTCTCCTTCTATCCCCTCTTTTATCGTGCTTTTGTTCGGAGATTTATTCGCTAAATGTGTCTATTCGCATCAATTTCACCGTTTTGATTCATTATTTATCTACTGACCATTTGTTTTACATAATTCCCCTAAAAATCATCTTTACAAAAATCAGCCATGTGATTTGAATTATACGCTCCCTCCCTAACTTGATATTCGAACTAGGGGCGGGATAGACGTTTTGCGTCTCCGTTTCACAGGTGGAGCTACTCAAGTTAGATCCAATATTACAGCTTAATAATTAATAATTTAACTTTGGAGTGTTCACCTTTTGATTTGTAGAAAACTGTAGAAAAATACAATGCGGAAATAAAATAAGACAAACAGAAAGGAAACATAATTACTTTATTGCTACATTTCTTTTTCTTCTTGTTACATTACAATGAAAATAACTCACATATTTATAGAAAAATTAACAAATGAAATAAAAGAAAATATAGATATACGGAAATAAATATGATTCACAATATTTAACATAATATTGTGTTCCTCCAAAATCTAGATTTTTTTCCAATCACATATTCATTTTCATACTTCAACAAAAACCAACTGAAATTCTTGTAACTAAAATTTTGTTACTAATTGATATTTTATTTTTCCATTTTCCGTTTAGTTTTTATAGAAAAAAATGATGATGATTATGATGATGTATACATTGGAGGATATAGATTGTGTATCAATCGAATTTGGCAACTTCCATATTGCCGTCTGCAATTTCCTTTTGTATAGCTAGGTTAAGGGCGGAATGCCTTCTGTGTATATTGTTCTCGTGTACACATGAATAGACACAGAAACATTTTTCTATTGCGCTTTGAGTCGTATCATGGTATTAGAGTCCGACCAACTCCATTATTCACGATTATATTTAACATATAATATATATTAATTATATAATATATACATATATATATATATAATTAATCTTTTCACGTCTTCCATCATAAGATATTTTTTACGTGGCATTGGTTTAAACTTAAGAATTTTCCCAAAAATTAGTGTTTATCTATTTCATGGAGCTCTTCTTCCTCACACTTTTTTTTTTATATGTTTTCTTTCATCGGTAAGGTGAGGCATGAATTGGGGTTTGTCAAGTTGAATACTATGATTTATATATCTATAATTATGCATCTCATGATTTTGTTTTCAAACCTTAACAAATTATAAGATAATGGTCTTTGTTTTAATTAATAATTAAATGAGTTTAAATAGATATTTAATTTTTATTAGATATTATGATATTATAATAAATCAGAACTAAATGAAAAACATGATAATATGTAAAAAAATGAAATCATTTTAAAATAATCGTGTATATTTTCTGTGAATGGAAATCAAAACCTCATCACGTCTCTTGCATTGGCAGGTGGGATGTCTTTGGCGTTTTTACTTGATAAAGAAAAATGTATAAAAGTAAAAAAAAAAAAGGTTGGCCAAAAAAGCGCAATAAATGGGGGCAGAATTGAATTTCTATGACGTTGACTTTGGTATTGATCATATATCACAGTTGGTAAATGTTCTAAACCAATAGAGAGCATCTAATGGAGTAACGTATTCGAGAAACATCTTATTAAGTTCTAATAAAAAAATAGTTAGGTTCTGGGGCATGTAACGAGTAACAATGTTTGATAAACATTTTTATAATTAATTCTGAAAGATGGTTGGAAATAAGGTTGGATTCAATAAATTCGATATCTAGAAAAGATAAAAGACTAAGCAAAGAAAAACTAATATGGTTAAATTTAGGAGTGAACGTTTCGATATTCGATTTAAATTTGGTTTAGTAATTCTTCGGTTCAGTTCTTTCAGCTCTATAAAAAGATGTATTGATCGGTTAGTATATCATATTAAGTTTGGTTCGGTTTCAGTTTTTATTATTTCGTTAAGAAGTTTTCGGTTTTTGAAACATTTTTAAAAAATTACCATTTGAAAATTTTGGATGGTTCAGTTCAGAAACAATAAACGTCCAACGTCAATTTTCACATCTTTTTCGCCCATCCAAAAACAATATTCGAGAGAAACTTTATCATACCAAAATTTTCTCCTCAAGTAATTCATCATTATTTTCACCGTTTTGATTCATTATTATCTAATGACCTTTTAAATTTTTCCTGAAAAATCATTAGCCAATGCTTTTTCCTTTTTCTCTTACTCTCTGAGTGGGTTGATTTGTGATTAGGTTTCTGATTCCTAATTTGGTCTAGTTTGATTTTGGATTGATTTTTTTTTTTTTTAAACAAAGAAATCAGGTTCAGAACAAAGATTTTAGACATCGATAAAATTGGGTATCTTATATATTCTTTTTTCAAACTATAAGATAATTAGTTTTTATTGGTTATTGAATGAATCTGTGTTTAATTTCGTTTTTTATTTGAGTCGATAAAATTATAAAATATTTAAAAATTAGATATGCTTTTAAGATAAAGTTTAGGTCCGTAAAAATCGGTTTCTATAAAGCGATTCAGTTTTACTGGCGCCCTAAGACTCGGGAGAAACAACTCGTAAAGCTTTTTAACTTTTTGTATTTACAGGAAATTATACATTTAGAGAAAAATCTTCCGCTGAATGTTTGCGTTTGTTACATTTAGCTTGCTACGCAAACTTATTTTATTTACTAAAAGAAAAATCTCCAATATATATAACTTGCTTCACAACAAAAGCCTCACACAGGGGGAGAAGAAGGTCAATCATGCGGATTCTCTCGTCCCGCCTCGTTAACGTGAAATCTCAAGAACTCGATTTGCCCTCTCATCTCTTGAATCTTTATTTACTATATATGGTGTTTTTGTTTAACTATTGATGATGAATACTGCAGTATTGCCTGAAAGGGAGTGTTGTATCTCTGTATTCTCGTCAATCTCGCAGTTGGTGCTCATGGGAAGGTGATCTCCTTCTTCCCCTCTTTTTGTTTTTCTTTCTTCAATCCGCTAATCGCATGCAATGGAAACATGCCCTCCAACGCCAAAGAAGGGAAATCTTGTTCATAAGAGCCATTGATGTAAAAAGGGCAAATTACAGTTTGTATATGGTTCGTTCACGCCATTTGAGTCATATGATCATTTAGTCCGAGTTTTTTCTAGGATTCACATTGGAATTTGGGTAAAAACAGGGGATCCTGGAGAGATTGCCGACAAAACCCCACCGAAACGGGTGAATGGGACAGAAGCCGTAGAAAAGGAGATGAGAGAGATGAGGCGGGAGATGGGTATGGCGATGGCCAAGTTACAGGAGGCGTCCAAATCAAACGAGGATTTGATTACAAAGCTCAAGGAAGATATGAAGAGCGATACCGAGGCAGTGCTGACGATAGCGACTTGGGCGTTGGTTATTTATTTGGTCTTCGGTGATAAAGCAGCGGTTGGATTCTCGATACTCTTTTTGTTTATTTTCATCGTCACTAATTAATTGCAGGCCATAAGTTCAATTTTATAATGCAGTTTTCTTTCGGTATCTTTGAGACCCAAAAAAAAAAAAAAAGAATGATTACAAGTTTGGTTACGTATACCTTATTATTATTATTATTATTATTATTATTATTTGGATTGCTATACTCGTATCAAATACCTGAATGAGTTATTGGTACAAGTTTATTGGGCCAGGCCCATTGGGCCAAAACGAGCACGTACTACGTAGATGGTCATCGCTGTTTATCTGCGTAACCGACCTTCAAAACAAAGTCACACAGAGGGGGGACAAGAAGGTCAATCATGCAGATTCTCTCATCCCGTGTCGCTAATTAATTAAGATCCCAAGAACTCGATTTGCTCTCATCTCTTAAATCTTTATATATTTTTTGTTACATTTAATCTCTATTGATTTGTTATTGATTTGTTTTTGTGTTTATTGATCATGAATATTGCAGTGGAGACTTATATCCTAAATGATATGGCCCGTCTACGACCCCGAAATTAATATGGATCTTGGTTCAAAACATTCGATTATAACAAAAAAAAAAAAACTAAAAAGCCGTATGTAATTTGTGCGAATGAAAATAAAAACATGGTCATGCATTTACATCAAAACCATTTTTATTAGGTTTAAGATTACAATTTGACATAGAAGTGTATTTAAAAAACGTATGTATGAGTGAAAATTGGTAGATAATGAGTCTACTCAGAAGGTCTCGGCGTCAAGCACATAGAAATTGTTTCGGGAAGAATTACCGCAAGTGGACTGGGTTAAGATGATATGGTTTAAGCAAGGTATGCCTTTGTCTTTTGGATGGTGATGCAAAGAAGATGTCTACACGGACTGCGTCGATTGAATATTGTCCAGAATTTGACTTATGTCCTATGTAATGAAGAGAAAGAATCGCATGACCACCTATTCTTCCAATGCTCTTTCAGTGCTGAAACTTGGCAGGGGCTTGCATCAAAGATTTGGAGGAACTCACTGGCTAAACTCTCAATGTGTCGGCCTTGGATGGAGGCAATCCCGCAGCCTGAAGGTATCAAGCGAAACATTCTTCTCAAGACTCTTCTCCAACATGCTGAATACGAGGTATGGAAGGAACGCAATTCCCGCATTTTCTCAAACGTCTCTATTGATTTGTTTTTGTATTTATTGGTCATGAATATTCAGGTATGGTCTGAAAGAGTGAAATCGAGGAATTGGGTTATATGACTAAATTACGATCCAAACATTAATTTGTACTTTGATTCAAAATATTCCGTTACAAAAAAAAAAAGCTGTATATATTATTTTATGTGAATGGGAATAAAAACATCACCATGCATTTGTATCCAAACTATTTTTTTATTAGGTTTAAGATTACAAGTCGACATAGAAGTGTATTTAAAAAACGTATGTACTCGACTAGGTTAAATTGATCGTTACATATGCTGTACGAATTCAAATGCTCACCATATGCGACAAAATTTGAAAGGAAATTATTATTATAATTTTGGGGTTTCGGGTAAAAATCTGATATATAAAGGAGATAAGAACAAATAAAAAAAAAATTATATGGTGGTTGATTATAATTTATATTGGAGAGAAGTATATACTCTATCAACTACGTACTAATGATGGTGCATCTCCTACATTTTTCAATCATGATTGTTTTTATTTGTTTTAATTGAATAAGTTTAAAGAGAGAATTTATATGTAAAAAAAAAAAAAGTACAACTCTTTTTAGGTCTGCACCGGAGTCTCGCCGTGCAGCCCAAGCTTATCCCTTACATATTTATAATTAGATTAGGAGGAAAACAAAATCTCGAAGACATATATATATAAGCCAAAACAAAAAGGGCGATCAATATTTAACTTGCTTGCGACATTGGCATCTATCTCCACAGCAAGGGATAGATCATAGACCCGTGTTCAGGATGCCCGTGTCTCATCATGTATACTCGTGTCCTGTCTCATCTCTCTCATCTGCTCCCCTACTTCAACAGCTTGACGCAATAGAGGAGCAGATGAAAGAGATGACAGGACATGCGTTATGATGACGGCAAAGCTAGAGGAGCTGACGAAAGAGCACAAAAGCCCGCCGAGACGTACGGGTGAACGCAGTAGAGAAGCAAAAGAAACGTTGCGCAATCGTGGGTGAGGAATGGAGTCGTGTTTGTCATGTCGAGTAATATGATTTATATATCTATAGTTATGCATCTCATAATTTTTTTTTCCAATCCTTGACAAATTATAAGATAATGGTAATTTGTTTTAATATTCAATTAAATGAGTTTAAGTAGATATCTATTTTTTTTTACTAGAAACTGTAATATTATAATAGATCAAAACTAAATGAAAAATATGATAATATATACATATATAAAAAAAAGAAATCGTTTTAAAATAATTATGTGCTCTTTCTTGGCTTCACGTCTCTCGCGTTGGCGTCTTTACTTGATAGGAGAAAATATGTAAACGTGAAACAAAAGGTGGGCCAAAGAAATGAAGAAATTTTTTTTTTTTTTTTTTTATCAAGGGAAACACAAAAAGTGGGAGCAGAATTGAATTTCCATGTTGAGTTTTGTATTTAGTTCTTATGGAAAAAAAAAGAGGTGGGTTCTGATATATGATTAAGGATTGTTTGGACTCTGATTAGTGTTTTGTTATTGTTGATAATTGAATGAGTTTATAAGAAACAGATATATGCATTTTCTTTTTAGTATAAATTTTAACATTATAACAGACGAAATTAAATAGAAATCATATCATTATTGGTTATGTAAACCTAATTTGTTATTTAAGAAGTTCACTCGCAATGCGCCTTAAACCAAATAAAACAGTACGAACAACTCGATACCTAAAAGCTTTCGCTTGTAATTTTCTTAATAGTTCATTTTCCATTCAGAATAAGCAAATCACATCGATGCAATTGCTAATATTTTCTTGAGTAATTGATTTTTTAAAAAAAAAATTCACTTGTAAAACAAAATAAGAGTTTTGCTATGTTGCGTAAAATTTGCATTAAAAAAAAAAAGAATAGTTGTTCTCGCCTATGAATATAAAGTTATGGAGAAGCATTTTTCTGTAAAGTCTCGTAGATATTAATATTTTTTAATTCCACCATAAAATGAAAAGAAAAATGACGAATGGGTATATTGGGTAGAAGAAGTGACGGTTTCTTGGGGTGGGGTGAAAAATGCATGATGCGTGAAGAGGAATTCGTAGTGCGACAAGGGAAATTTTATTACAATTTTAATCAAAGAAAGAATTTTGAATTTCAAGAGGAATTTATAATTTGATTTTTTATATAGATTTATAATATAAAACACTAAAAAAATAATTTAGTTTGACGATAATTAGAACCATATAGGAACTCCCTATCCAAGGGCTTTCGCTTGCGTTGGAAACATATATGATCCTCATGCCTTTTTTGATGCGCCTTCCGCATGAATTTTTTTTTTTTTTTGGTAACGGCGGGAACCCAACCACAGCCCTTCGGGCGCGGTGATAAACCCTCCGGTTCCACGTAATAGCCTGCAAACCACATGGAACAGGTAAACCACCCAAAAGGTGACAGGCTCGCTGGAGAGTGGAATCAAACCCATGACGTTTTGGAGAATCATGGACCCTTTAACCACTACACCAGGCCCCGAAGGGCAAACAAACTTCAAAATTTTTAATTTTTGGAAGTATATTTGTGCTCGTATATCTAAAATTCCAGTGCTACAAAAAAGTTGGAGAAAAATAAGTTTCCAATCACAAATAATATCGATTCAGTTTGATTTGGATGATGATGATGATGATGATGATGATGATGATGATAACTGAGTTGTAAGTTCAAAAAAAAAAAAGCTGTCAGATAAGGAAATAGAATATGTTAATTAAGGATTTCAGGAAGGGATGACGAAAGATAACTACTACTGTTTTTCTGTTTTTTTTTTTTAAAGTTAAGTAAAGAATAATGTATTTTCTTTCATCAAAATAAATGTATCAGTATGATTTTTGAGATGGTACGCTTGAAATCAGAAAAAATGGTTCGGAACCCAACATTGAAAATGCAAAATGATTAAATGGGACTTACGGGAAAAAAATATTTACAAAATCAAACCATTCATCAGAATTTTATTGTTCACTTCTTACAAATAAAATTTTGAAATACTTTGTTTCATTATTTGTATATCATTGCTGATTTTATAATTAATAAATAAAATATAATTATAAATTTTATTTTTATACGGTGGTTGCACTATATATAGTGTTGTACTACATTATACTTGTTTATATCTATGCGTAATTTAATTATCGATCATAATAATAATAATAATAATATTGTTAAAATTAAATAAAAAAAGACAAAAAAAAACAAAATTACTTTATTTCTATATCTATTCTTTTTCTGTTACATTAGAATGAAATAACTCATATATTTATAGAAAATTAATAAATGAAGTAAAAAAGAAATATAGATACAATAGAAACAAATATAATACATAATATTTAACATAATATGCTAGAAGTTGGTGGTATGATAGTTGTGGAAGAACAAGTGTTATCCACACCCAGATTTTGAATCATGACAATCACATATTATAAAAAAAAATATAATATAATATTTTTTATTAATGAAAATAATATCTCAAAATCTATATTTTCTTCCAATCACATATTTATTTTTCTATTTCAAGATTTTCCACAACATTGATTTTGAAAGAATGCAAAAGTTAATTTTATACTACAAAAAAACAGTCTTTTAGCAACGAAATTTTTACGTTGAAAAACAGAGTTATGAACGAAATTGCAACGAAAAAATTTTCATTGCTAACTCGTCGTTGCAAACAATATAACATTTCAATTCGATGCAAATTACAACGCTATTCAACAAAATATTTTTGTTGCTAATTGTAACGTAATTTCGTTGGTAAAGTTAATATAAAAATAAAAAATAATTTAGAATTTCAGATTTTTTTGAAAAATTAAATTAAAATTTAAAAATAATTAATTTAAAAATATTAATAAATATAAATAATAAATAAAGATAATATATATATCTATAATTATAAAATTTATTTAAGACTTATAAATTAAGGTTTATGAATAAATAATTAACAAAAATAATAAAATAAATATTTAATAAAAATAATAAAATTTATTTTTATTTGATTTTTTTTAAAAGTTGGGGATGGAGAGAGGTTTTAGATAATTTTTAAAGTGAGAAGTTGCTGATGGATTATGTTTCGATGTTGAATATATAGAAAAACATTGCAACGCAATTTCATTGCAATAAGCATGAAAATCGTAATCAATCATAGCAACAAATTTATTTTAACTTTGCAACGCAATTTCTTTGGTAATTGGATTTGCAACAATATTTCGTTATAAATTAGCAACGAAATTGCATTGCAAATTTATTTATTTTTTTTACGGTCAAATCATATTAATTATTAAAAGATAATATTTGCAACGAAATTGTTGCGTTGCAAAATTCGTTGTTAATCGTTGCTAATTTGCAATAAAATAATTTTGCAACGATTTTGCAACGCTTTGTAACGCAATAATTTCGTTGCAAATTAGTAACGATTTTATTGCGTTGCTAATTGCAATAATTGTTTTTGCAACGATTTACCAACGATTTTACAACGCAATAATTTCGTTGCTAATTTGCGACGTAATTTTTGTGTTGCAAAGCGTTGCTAATCGCAAAAAAAAATAGTAATAACTTACTAACGATTTTGCAACGCTTTAGCAAAGCTTTGCAACGAAAAATTTCGTTGCTAATTTGCAATGTAAATGTTGCGTTGCAAAATTGTTGCAAAATTTTTTTTGCTACAAACGTTGCAATTTCGTTGCTAACTTTGCAACGAAATATATTTTGTTGCTAATTTCGTTGCTAGTTAACTGTTTTTTTAGTGTTAAAAGACAATGCAATAAAAATCTATATACATTTTATTTTAGAAAAAATTTATAAACACCAAATTTAGTTTTTTTAGAAAATATTATCCATTTTTTAGTCAATAGAGGAGCTGATGAGAGAGATGAGAAAGGGAAAGACAAAGGAGTTTGAGAATTTTTTCTATTTAATTTGATTTTACTTATTATGTTACAATTCTAATTATAAAAATAAACTACAAATCTATCCCCGGGATAGTTCGACTGGTTGAAGTGGGGACTGAAAAAAATCATCCACCCCAGTTCGAAACTTTTTGGGTACGAACTTTAACAAAAAAAAACTAAACTAAATATCCATAAGTTTGTAGTCGAATGGTTTCCTCTGGCAAGTATTTCGAGGTCGACCGTTCGATCTCACATGTTGGAGGGAATGTAGGGGGGCGAAGACTCGGTGAAATTTCCGGTTGATCAACATATATGGTGATTGTTTGCTTCTGGCTTAATGTTTCTTCTAGATTTGTTCAACATATTCGGTGATATGCAAAAAATGAAATCGTTTTAAAATAATCATGTGCTCTTTCTTGGATTCACATCTCCCGCATTGGCAGATGGGATATTCTTGACGTCTTTACTTGATAGAGGAAAACGTGTAAACATGAAAAAAAAGTGGGCCAAAAACGAAGAAAAAAGATCTTTATTATTGGGTTAATCCCAAAAAAAACTCCAAACTTGTTAAAATGTTCTATATATAAAACTCTGAACTTATAATCTTCCACAAAAAATCCTGAATTCGGTCAAAACTTCCACAAAAATTACAAACTTACAATTTTCTTCCATATAAAACCTTTGACTTGTTTGACAAAAAATTTTGCTGATGTGGCATGATGGATTGCTGACATGACATTGACTGAGTTGACACGTCAGCATCACGTCATCATTTTAAAAATTTAAATATAAATTTCTAATTTTTGGTCAAATATATATACATATATATTTGTATATATATTAAGTTTATAATTTAAAATTTTAAATATACAAATATATATATACCTATATACAAACATACATATATTATTTTTTATCAAATATATATATATATATATATATATATATATATATAATCAAATATATAAATTTATATATATATATTATATATATATATATTTGTACATATATATTTTTATTAAATATTTTAATTTTTAAAATGATGACGTGACGTTGACGTGGCAGCTCAGTCAACGCCATGTCAGCAATCCATCGTGCCACATTAGCAAAATTTTTGGTCAAACAAGTCAAAGGTTTTAAATGGAAGAAAATTGTAAGTTTATAATTTTTGTGGAAGTTTTTACCAAATTCAGGATTTTTGTTGTAGAAGATTGCAAGTTCAGGGTTTTATACGAAATATTTTAACAAGTTTGGAGTTTTTTGTGGGATTAATCCCTTTATTATTATTATTATTATTATTATTATTATTATTATTATTATTATTATTATTATTATTATTAATTAAGGGAAACACAAAAAGTAGGAGCAGAATTGAATTTTTATGTTTGAGTTTTGTATTTAGTTCTAATAGAAAAAAGATCTTTATTATTATCATTATTAATTAAAGGAAACACAAAAAGTGGGAGCAAAATTAAATTTCCATGTTTGAGTTTCGTATTAATCATATCATATCAAATCGGAGATAAGACCAAACAAATTTTAAACAAAAAAAACTATTATACTTAGCGTTGTTAAAAGATAAGGTTGAAATTTTTTTATTCATTATTATTTATTTATTTTTTTCCTAAAAATTATATATATAAAAAATCGTTAGATTTATTTTTTTTTTCTTTTCCTTTTCTTCTTCCTTTGAAATTGTGGATGATTTATGATTAGTTTTATTTTGATTTCTAATTTGGTCTAGTTTTATATTGGATTGAAATTTTTGTCAACAAAGAAATTTGGTAATACTATATATATATAATTGTGAATCTTATATACATAAGATAATTATTTTTATTTATATTGATAATCATTAAGAAATTTAATTTAGTTTTTATTTAGATTTATAATATAAACGAACCATATTACTAGGCATACTTGTTGTTCCTCTTGAGTCTTGACCTTAAGACTCGGGATTAGTTAGACCCTTTAATACGAAAACTTTTATTTTTTGCATTGTAAATTATATATTTGTTGTTCCTCTTGAGTCTTGACCTTAAGACTCGGGATTAGTTATATATTTACTAAAATTTGAAATATGATAAGTACATTGAAATTAAATAGAAAATATAATAAATGTGTAAGAAGCAGAACCGGTTTAGGTAAAGCTTGTTTCTTGCGTGCATCACATGATACATAATTTTAAAAAAAAAAATCTCATATATATACATGAGCTAAAATTAACTTGCATGCACATCGCCATCTTCAAAGCAATTTCACCACGACGCAGAGAACATGCGGATTCTTTCGGCTCGCTTCGCTAACGTAAAATCTCAAATTGCTCGATCGGATTTCTTTAATCTCTATAAGGATTGTTTGGGCATGATTATTCTTTTCTTCCTCTTCTCTTAATCCATTGACTTGTTTTTGTTTAATGGTGATTTATATATTGTAGTATTGTCTGAAAGGGAGTGTGATATCTCTCTATTCTCATCAATCCCGGAGTTGGTGTTCATGGGAAGGTCCTGTCTTTCTTCTCTTTTTTTTTTTTTCTTTTTTTATCTGTGTTTTTTTTTTTTGGAGTTTTCTTTTCTAAATGTGTCAAAAGCAGGAAATTCTCGAGAAACTGAAGAGATCACAAACAAAATCCCATGGAAACGGTTGAGTGCAATAGAAGAGGAGATGAAGGAGATGAGAAGACAGATGAGTATGATGATGACCAAACTAGAGGAAGTGTCCGTGGATAAACAAGGTTTGACTACAAAGCTACAAGCTCTTCTCTTTTATCGTTTTGTTTGGATTCTTAGGGGTATTGGTCGGTGGTTTTCTCGATGTGGGTGTGGTGGATTAGGCTTTGTGGTGTTGAATTTGTGTTTAAAAAAAAAAACAGGAAATCATGGAGAAGTTGAGGAGATGAAAGAGATGAGACGACAAATGAGTATGATGATGACGAAGCTAGAGGAAGAAGCCATGGATAAACAACGTTCGATTACAAAGCAAGAGGATGATTCCTTGAAGTTCAGAAAAACCAATACGGCGCAAAACCCAGTTGATAATCCTCAAGAAACTTCTCCAAGTGAAGGTAAAATATCATGAAATGTAAAGGAATATAACAATGTTTGAGAAATTTCTTTTTAAAAAAAGAAAAGTTTTAATGAAACCGAATGGGAATCAAGCATAAACAAATGAGAAAAGGGACTTAAGTTCTTGTTTCTCTCTCGCAGGCAAGCAAGAAGAGAAGGGTGGAGAGTTTGTCGCGTGGCTTAAGTTCGTTTGTAATGTTCTGTTGTACGTGTTGATCTGGTCTGTCTTATTGTTAGCCATCTTTTGGGTCTCTACTTTCGCGTATGAACGTTTCCTAATTGTAAAATTAAAAAAATAATAATAAATTGTGAGGGAATCGTATCATTACGGACTCGCTATCCAAAAACTCTCACATGTATTGGAAATTTATAATTCATTGACATCATTGAAATAAATAATGTTCTTTGTTCCAAGCAATCATCCTCATCGTGTTGGTTATGGTTATACGTTTGTTTGACGTGCCTCTTTCCATTTTTTTCCCATAAAATTTATGATACATTAGGTCAAAATTTATTCGAGAGAAACTTTATCATACCAAATATTTTCGTCGTTTTGATTCATTATTACCATTTCCATTTTTTCCCTAAAAATCATTTGCCTATATATATTTTTTCCCTTTTTCTTTAATTCTTTGTTTTAAATTCTGAATGGGTTGATTTGTGATTAGGTTTCTGATTCCTTATTTGGTCTAGTTTGATTTTGGATTGATTTCTTTTTTGGAAACAAAGAAATCAGGTTCAGTTCAAAGATTTTATATATCTACAAATCGTGTATCTTATATATTATTTTTATAAAAAAAATGTGAAACTATAAGATAATTATTTTTGTTGGTTATTGAATAAATTTAAATTTTTTATTTGAATTTACAAAATTATAAATATTTAAAAATTAGCAATGCTTTCTAAGATAAAGTTTGATCACGTAAAAATCGGTTGCTATTAAGTAATTCACTCTTGTGGTGGGAAAAACAACTCGTTACACGAAAGCTTTTTAACTTTCCGTATTTACAGGGAAATTATATATTTGATGACATAAGAGAAATATGTGTAGCCAATATCTTTACTCTAGTGAAGATATTTATTTTATTTCCTTACATTGAGCTTGCTTGTACCACAATTTCAGCTTGATGCTCAAGCTTATTTTATTTCCTTACGCGATTTATTATTAAATCAGAAAGAAAAGAATATATATATATATATATATATATATATATATTTCACACGCCATTTTCACAAACAAATTCACAGACAATGCAAAGATCATGAGGATACTCGCGACTCGCCTCGTTAACGTAAAATCTCATATTGTTAGATTGTATATATCCTTAATTTTTTTTTTTTTTTTAAATTTCTTCCCTTCTCTTAATCTCTATGGTTTTTTTGTGTGTGTTTAATGGTGATGAATACTGCAGTATTGTCTGAAAGGGAGTGTTATATCTTTGTATTCTCATCAATCTCGCAGTTGGTGTTCATGGGAAGGTCATCTCCTTCTTCCCCTCTTTTGCTCTTTCTTCGATCGGTTAATATTTTTTTTTTCGTAAACCCTAATCGCATGCAATGGAAACATTCCCTCCATCACAAAGAAGGAAAATCCTGTTAATGAGAGCCATTAATTAATGTATAAGAACACCAAAAAATATAAGGTTATCATTGTTAAAGTGGGAAAATGAATATATGATTGGAGTAAAATAAGATTAGAGATATGATGGAGAATAATAATGGATACAATATCATTATACCAAATATTGTGTATCTGATTTGTTTCCATTGTGTCTATATTTCCTTTTTACTCTATTTCTTAATTTTCCTATAAATATGTAGTTCATTTTCATTATAATGTAACCAGAAGAAGAAGAGATGTAGCAATAAAAGTAATTTCGTTTCTTTCTATTTGTCTTATTTTATTTCCGCATTTTATTTTTCTACATGGTATCAGAGCAGCGTTGCGATCTGGACTATATGTTTTTTTTTTCTAATCTCTTCTTTCTTTAGCGTTTTGGATGTTCATATATCCAAATCGTTTGAAGGAGAGTAAAAATTCAAATTCAAACGATGTGCTATGACAAACAAAAGTCAAAGCTAAAAACTCTAAGATCAAGCAAGATGCTATGACAAAAAGAGTTAAAGCTAGAACTTTAAAGTCAAGCGAAGTGATTTGAAAATGATTAATGCTCTCTAAAAGAACAAATTTTGGTTTATGAATTTTTCCTGAGACAATGAAAATGTCTGAGCGGTTTATAGCATTATCGATTCAAGATTGACTTTTTTCATTCTTTCAAAGTCAATCTTGAGGGGGAATGTTAAAGTGGGAAAATGAATATATGATTGGAGTAAAATAAGATTAGAGATATGATGGAGAATAATAATGGATACAATATCATTATACCAAATATTGTGTATCTGATTTGTTTCCATTGTGTCTATATTTCCTTTTTACTCTATTTCTTAATTTTCCTATAAATATGTAGTTCATTTTCATTATAATGTAACCAGAAGAAGAAGAGATGTAGCAATAAAAGTAATTTCGTTTCTTTCTATTTGTCTTATTTTATTTCCGCATTTTATTTTTCTACAATCATGTCATATTTAACAATATGATCATTGTGTAGAAAGTGGCGTTCTTGTTTTTCAAAGTTTCTCCGCGAATTCAAAGGAAATGTGTGACAAAACAGGAAATCGCGGGGAAAGCGAAGAGATCAAAGGCAAGATCCAACCGAAACCGGCGAATGAGGCAAGAGCAATAGAAGACGAGATGGTAGAGATGAGACGAGAAATGAGCATGCTGAAGGCAAAGTTAAAGAGGGAATACAGGACGAACCACCGTCTGATGAGCAAGCTAAAGCAAGTGTCCAATGGACAAGGTAAAATCTTGAAAGCAAGCAAAATTCATTATATATATATATAGACTTTAATGGAGGGCTCTTAAATGTTATCTCTGTCACAGTTGAGGAAGAGTGTGATTGCACGGTTACGTTGGGAAAGAAAGAGATTACTGTAGCGGCTTTGTTGTTGATTCTCTATTTGATTCTCGGCCCCAAGCCAGCGGTTGTCTGTTTAATATTGTGTTTGCTTTCTTGGAACCCATAAGTTATTCATTTATTTTTTTTATTACTGGTGATTGAAAGTGTTAATTGAATATATAATGCAGTTTTTTTGGGTGTAAATTTTAAGATTTATAGAAAAATTGGTCCCATAAAACTCCCAACCCGAAATCTTGTGTTTGTGTTTGGAAATTATAATGCATTGACATTTATAGCCAAAAGGGCAGCAGAATTGAATCTCAATTACGTGGACTTGGATATTACACTCTTATATCACATTTTGGTGCTTCGAAAAACGTAATATTTATTTTATTATTTATGTCGAATTCAGTTAAATCTTATATTAAAGGGAGATAAGACAACGAAATAAAATACATATCAATTTTGTAGACAAAGAAATCATGTTGATGTTTGTAGTATAATACACATACTTTGATGTTTTTTTGCCAAATAAACTGTTTATTTCAAATCTACTTTGATGTTCCAACCGGGATAAACCGACTCCAAATAAACTGCTTATTTCAAATCTGGTTTACTGACGTGGATTATATTTTAACACGTGCCGCTGACTTGATGTATTTTAAACACGTGTCGATGATAGAACAGGGGTTTCTCGGACTGATCCTACGGTAAAACAGTAACAGTGGTTTCTGTTCGATATCTTTTTCTGGAATATTGCCATTCTTGTTTTTCTTGTTCAGAGAAGGAGATACAGAAAGTAACATAGGAAACCCTCCCACGTCACCAGCAGGAGTTGAAGAGAGATGGCAAACAAAAACCCATGGAAACCAGCAAATATAGAAGAGCTGATGAAAGATATGAGACGACAAATGAGTATGATGATGACCAAGCTCGAGGAATTATCCATCGAGAAACATGGGTTGATGGCAAAGCTAGAGAAAACGTCCAAGGCAAACCAGGGTTTTATGGCCAAGCTGCAAGAAATGTCCATGGCCAACCGATGGTTGATAACAAAGCTAGAGGAAACATCCATGGCGAACCAGCGTTTGATGACAAAGCTAGAGGATACATCCATGGCGAACCAGGGTTTGACGGCAAAGCTAGAGGAAGTATCCATGGCGAACCAGGGTTTGACGGCAAAGCTAGAAGAAGTATCCATGGCAAACCGAGGTTTGATGAACAAGTTAAAGGAAGTTTCCACCGCACAAGGTAAAGTTTTGAAATCCAACTTCGTATTTATTTGTTGCTGTGGTCATGTTGTCATCCATTAGAGAGTATCTAAAGCAATAACAACGTGTCACAAACATCTAATTGAAAATTTTAATTAAACCGGTTGGTGGGGTTTTTTTATGTATGATTTGAGGATTGTTTGGACTTTGATCACTGTCTGGTAACTTCTCTCGCAGGTAAGCAAAAGGAAGGTTTCGCATTTACCGTGGGACGACGTGGAGACAGTGAGATCGTGTTTGGTTTGATGTTTTTACTGTTACTGTTGGGTGTTATATGTTGGTTATGTGGGAAGTAGATAGAGAGAGACGGGAGAAAATGTTGAACCGGCTCTAGAATAGGTGGAAATATTTTTTTTAATATCATATTTGTTTTGAAATATCGAATTAAATTATTAGAATCTACTACTTTTAACCCATGTAGAAACGGAATGGACTGTTAAAATGCTATACAGTTGTGGGATGGAATCTAAACCTATTATTATTAAAATGATACAGATCTTTTAAGATACCCATAAAATGCATATCAATCTTTTCACTAATTCCTTTGCCGTACATTAAAAATCGATAGGAAATGATGATACACAACCGTCGACGACTTATACATTTGCATCTTTTTATTTTGAGATCGTATAAAACCCTAGTTTATATCTTAGGTAAACCCCACCCAACGCATGAGCCTACAACACGTGTATGAAGAAGATAAAGTGTATGAAGAAGATAAATCGATCGTAATCGACGGACGATAGATGAGTGGTTAAAGAGTCGAATTTTCAACCTCTTATTAGGTTGATACATGCATCTTGCCAATTCATCTGGAGTTTTTCATAATATGTTGCATCTTCGTGATAAAGATTAGAGATTAAGTATTAATAAATTAAGTACATTTAATACAAGATTAGAGATTAAGTATTAATTATTTAACTTTGGCATGTTTACCTTTTGATTTGTAGAAAACCCTTCAAAAATCATAGGTGAACATAACAAGCGGGCAAAATTGCAAAAATAACCCCAAATGTCTATCTTTACTTCAAGGGATGACCCTCTACGTTTAGGGTTTTAAAAAAAAAAACTAAAATGACAAAAATACTAGTTTGCCCTTAAAAAATTGAACACGTGGCAATTTTTTATATAGTGAAAAAAACCTTCGAAAAATTTATTCTCTCACTTTTTTTAAAAAAATTCAAAACGTATTTTTTTTCTTTTTCTCTCCAAAGAGATGTCGTTGGCGATTCTAATAACAAATTTCTCAATTTTCGTCATACACTCGACATATTTCTCTACTATGACGAGATCTCACATTCCAAAATTGAATAATTTGAGAATGTATGGAAAGTGTTCGATAAAAATCCTCAGAGAAATTTTGGCTCTTAAAACGTCATACTGGTCATATCGGTCAGACTTTGGTCATACCGATCAGATTTTGGTCAGACGTTCACAATTTGGTTAGCCGGTCACACTTTGAATGAATATGATTTATATTAAGAGATTTTTTTTATACATGAAATTAGATCACCAAAACGATAAAATGTATTCTTGTAACCCTTATACAATTTTTTGAATCGTTTAAACTTAATTTAGACCTTTATTTTTCATTTAAAAATGGTCATACCGGTCACACTTTGATAAGACGGTCAGACACTGGTCATATAGTCAGAATTTGGTCAGACGGTCAGACTTCTTGAAAATTGATGAATTTATCATTTTAAAAGTGTTAATATGGTATAATAATAATCTCATATAACACGTTTTTTAAATTTAAAATCGGTCAAACGGTTAGACTTTGGTCAAACCGATGATACTTTGGTGAGACGATCAGACTTTGGTTATACGGTCAAACTTTGATCATAACGATCATATTTTGATCATATCATTAAACTGCTCATATGATTATACGAGCTAGACTAGTTATACTTTTTCAAAAATGATGAATTTACGAATTTAAAAGTGTAGATCAAACATGTTCTTCTTATATTGAATTTTAGCTTATTAGGGTTTCACTTCGATTCGATTCGAATGAACAATATCATTTAAGCTTACACTCGTCAAACGTTTCCTTTAGAATGAGATCCGACACACCAAAGTTGAAGAATTTGAGAATGCATGGAAAATGTTTGATGAAAATCATCATAGAAATTTTGGCTATCGAAATGGCACATCGGTCAAACCGATCTGATTTTGTTCATGGTGCCAAGAACAACGATGTCATCAACAACTCATTCCACACATACATAAAGTAATAGTAGTGTTTATGTAACACATTGAGTACAATTGACTTATTCGAGAGATTTTTTTTCTACGTGAAATTAGAACTCCAAAATGATGCAAAAGTAATCTTATAACCCCTATACAACTTTTCGAATCGTTTAGATTTAATTTAGGTATTTTTTTTCATACCCAAATGGTCATACGGTCAGACGGTCATACCTTGGTCAGACGGTCAAACTTGTTCGAAATTGCATAATTCATCGTTTTAAAAGTGTTAACATTGTAATAATCATATCATATCACAAATATTTCAAGTTCAAATCGGTCGTAGCAATATGGATTGAGTATATTTTTTGTTTGTCAATGTAACTCTTTCCAAAGAAGACCTAAAGTGATAATAGTGTTTATGTAACACATTAAGTACAATTGACTTATGTCGAGATATTTTTTTTTTCTACGTGAAATTAGAACTCCAAAACGATGCAAAATTAATCTTATAACCTCTATAAAACTTTTCGAATCGTTTAGATTTAATTTAGGTATTTTTTTTTTCCGCACCCAAATGGTCATACGGTCATACGGTCAGACGGTCATACCTTGGTCAGACGGTCAGACTTGTTCGAAATTTTATAATTCATCGTTTTAAAAGTGTTAACATTGTAATAATCATATCATATCACAAATATTTCAAGTTCAAATCGTCGTAGCAATATGGATTATGGATTGAGTATATTTTTTGTTTTTCAATGTAACTCTTTCCAAAGAAGACTTAAAGTGATAATAGTGTTTATGTAACACATTGAGTACAATTGACTTATGTCGAGATATTTTTTTTTCTACATGAAATTAGAACTCCAAAACGATGCAAAAGTAATCTTATAACCCCTATACAACTTTTCGAATCGTTTAGATTTAATTTAGGTATTTTTTTTCCGCACCCAAATGGTCAGACGGTCATACGGTCAGACGGTCATACCTTGGTCAGACGGTCAGACCTGTTCGAAATCGCATAATCCATCGTTTTAAAAGTGTTAACATAGTACTAATCATATCATATCATAAATTTAATGAGTATGATCAGTTTGACCACTTTGATGATTATGACCAACGTGTTACCAATTTTGCGAGTATAACCAGGTTAACCAATTTGAAAAGTATGACCAGTTAGAAGTACGACCAGTTTGACCATTCTGACACGTATGTATGACTAGTTTTCCAAATTTTTCCATTTTGACGAATTTCACGTATTTAACGATTTCGACCAGTTAGAATAGCGTGAATCATGGTGATGCATATATCATATTTACTTCATCTATATCATCTAGATTAAATATAAAGATAACAAAACAACAAATCACAAATCCAAATTTAATAACGAATTTTTGAAACAATATTTACCTATTATTAAGATTTGTGTGTAATCGATGAAATGTCCAAACTTAATATTGTTTTTTCACAATAAATTAGTTGAAAAATAGATTGGAAATGAAGAGAACTTGAAGATCAAAGAATGGGCAAGAAGAGAGAGTGTAGTTTGTTCGACATATACGGATGGAAAGAGAGAGAGAGAGAGAGAGCTCGAAGAGGAGAGAGGGTTGAAATATTTTTTAAAAATAAAAATATTAAATAAAAAAGGAAGGGTATTTTTGGAAAGATACAATTATGAAGTTATGAAATGATGTTGGTTTTTTTTAAAAAGAAGCGACGTCATGCCATGAAGTAAAAATGACATTTAAAGTCATTTTTGCAATTCACCCCAACAAGCGATCAACCAAAAGGTAAATATCTAATTCCATATATATATTTATTTAGTGTGGAGATGTTATAAACCAATGGATTATATATCTAAAGCAATAATAGTCTTGGAGAAACATCTAATTAAAAGTTTAATTAGACCGATAGGCTCTAACCATACTGACTCCAACATTCTCGGAGTATGGTATTTACCTTTAAAAAATCTCTCAATACATTTAGAACATTATTTTTAAAAATTAAGATAAATAATTGTATTCTAAAATAATACAAATATACGAAAATAATATAAATATACGAAAATAATATAAACAGATAAATAACATAATTGTGTATCTTATATTTTTTTTTTCAAAATGTGATAAACTATAAGATACTTCCTCCGTTTCAGATTAATTGTAGTTTTAAGTTGTTTTCTATGTTTTAAAATATTTGTCATTCTACATTTTCAATACATCTTTTTACATTATTTTCCAATTTTATCCCTAACATATTCTAATAAATTAGTATTAATCACAACATTGTTTTTATCATCAAAATTTAATGAATATTAATTATATTTTGATTAGTATTAATCACAACATTGTTCTTCGTTATTCATAGTTGGAAATTTTATTTTGATCTTTTAATTGGTTTCATTTGTTTGATCTCAATATATAAGAAGTGAAATCAAATTCAAATTTGTGAATATTTTGGTTTTGGCTCCAAATTAATTTTTTACCAAATTAAAATTTCCCTCCAAACTAAAATTTTCTCGTAAACATTAATATCAAAGACTGAATATTTAAGAGAACAGAAATTTTCATTAATTATAATCATAAAAAATTATATTAATAAAAATATTAAATAAGGGCAAATATGACTTTTTATTTTTTTCTTAAAAAAATGTGAAAAATCCTAAAACTACAATTAATCTGAAACGGAGGGAGTAATTATTATTTTTTGTTCTTGAATGGATTTAAATTTAATTCAGTTTTTTATTTGACTTTCTAAATTTATAAATATTTAAAATTAGAAATGCTTTTAAGATAACATCGGTTGCAATTAAGTAATTCGTTCTGATAGTGCCCTTAAGACTCGGGAAAAGCTTTTAACTTTTTGTGTATTTATTGGAAATTATATATTTGATGCCACAAGAGAAATATCTGCCACTCATTGGCTGCGTTTGTTACATTTAGTTTGCGTGTACCACAATTTCGGCATATTTTATTTATTACGTCTTTTATTCTTCAATCAGAAAGAAAAATCTCGAATACATATATATATATATATATATAATATATATAGCCATCTTCACAACAAATTCACAGACAACAACCAAAGCAAAGGTCATGAGGATTCTAACGGCTCATCTCGCTAAAGTAACCTCTCAAATTCTATATTAGATTTTATATCGGGTTAATCTCATAAAAAACCCCAAACTTGTTAAAATGTTCCATATAAAACTCTAAACTTGCAATCTCTCACAAAAAATACTGAATTTGGTAAAAACTTCCACAAAAATTATAAATTTATAATTTTCTTCCATATAAAATATTTGACTTGTTTGATCAAAAATTTTGGTGATGTGACACGATGGATTGCTAACGTGGCACTGACTGAACTGTCACGTCAATGCCACATCATCATTTTAGAAATTAAAATATTTAATAAATATATATATATATATATATATAAATTTATATATGTAAATTTATATATTTGATTAAAATATTTGTATATTTAAAATTTTAAATTATAAACTTAATATATATACAAATATATATATATATAGAGATTTGATAATAAAAAATATATATGTATGTATGTATATAGGTATATGTATATATATTTGTATATTTAAAATTTTAAAATACAAACTTAATATATATATATATATATATTTGATAAAAAAATATATATGTATGTTTGTATATAGGTATATATATATATTTGTATATTTAAAATTTTAAAGTACAAATCTAATATATATACAAATATATATGTATATATATTTGACCAAAAATTAGAAATTTATATTTTAATTTTTTAAATGATGATGTGGCGCTGATATGTCAAACAAGTCAAAGGTTTTATATGAAAAAGAATTGTAAGTTTGTTATTTTTGTGAAAGTTTTTACCAAATTCAGAATTTTTTGTGAGAGATTATAAGTTCAGGGTTTTATATGGAATATTTTAACTAGTTTAGAGTTTTTGGTGGGATTAATCCATTTTATATCTCATATCTCCTTTCTTTTTTTTTTCTTTTTTGATAATCAGAATAATTTTCCGAAACTTCGCTCCAACTTCATCCACCCTAAATTCGGATCGACCTTTATATGTACAATTTTGAATAATAAACCATCAAATAATACTACATGACTTTCAGATACATCATCATGTAAATGCTATGTATGTGTATACTGTCCGCCACGTGGACATCTAACGGATTGTCTCCGTTTACTATAACGAGTTCCGTATATATATATATCGTTGTCTAAGCCCTGGATGGATTTGCTCTTTGCTCAAACTTTTGTTTTTTTTTTGCTCAAACTTGCTTTCTCTCTCTAAGCCTCGTACTCTAACAACGCCATTGGATAGTGTCGTTCCAGTAATCGACGATCGAAATGTAGGATTTCAAGCTTCTACTAATGCATTGCATCAGTTTTCTCCAGAGACATTCTTGATCGTTTCACCACTAGTAGGGATTGTGTTATGTTGTTGCAATATTTGATTTCCTGTTCCAGAAGTTTGGTTCTTGCTTGATTCCGGTTCTGGGTATCATCTGGTTTTCATGTTTTCTTTGTTTTGTGTTGAATCAGGCACAAGTTTTTTCATGACAAGTGCTGATTTCAGTTGATTTCTTCATGTCCGCATGCCTTTTGCACTGTCATTATACGGTTTCCTTTCGCAGATGGTTTTTCTTTGGAAGACTGCTGCGTCTTTTTCTCCATGGGTAGATATTGCTTCTTTCCATCTTTTTTTGGGTAATTTCAGTTGATTAGTCTGTATTTTATTGATACTGTGGAATACTTACACAGAGTCTCTGATGAAATGTGTTGCTCCTTCTGTAATTCTATCAAGTTAGGGTTTTCATGATAATGGGCGTTTCGGTATGGTTGTTGGAACTGAAAACCCCTTAGAAACTTTTTTATATATAACCCAACTTATCGAAACCGAAACGAATTTAGAAATAAACCCAAAAAACTAAAAATTTAATAAGAAAATATATTTTCCTTATCGAAGTGAATATGTAATAATCGATTGGTATATATTTTTATAAAACCGAAAGAAACTATACGATAATTACCGGACCTGAACCGAATACGGAAATCTCTCTCCTTAGTCTTGAATTTGACAACAATTTGCAAGATAGATATGGAGTAACAATGATGTGTTCATTTCTGTAATCTCTTGACAGGTCTTCTATATATGACAAATCATTTATGTAATTTCTTGACCAGTTAATATATATACATATATTGCTGGAAAATCCATTGTTTTGTACTGTATGTTATCCTCTTTGTCTTAGAAATTAAACATTAAAAATGTTATCAGATAAATTAATCGCTGTGAACAATATTATCAAATTAAAAATTAAAATTTTGTCATGCACGGTATATGGAAGTTTTTGCCTTTAAAGCCCTTTTTTTAGGCCTTAAGACACCCAATTATTAATTATTATAGCGAGTTTCATTTTGGGCCTGAAGAAGCCCACTTATTTAATTATATGATCACGTGTTCCTTGATTAAAGTGACGTCATCGTCTTCATCGTTTTCCCCTTTCGTAGCCCTAGTAGCTGTTCCTCAGCCAACATTTTTCGCGAAACAATTTTTTTTCCTTTATTTTTTTGCTGACACGGAACAATTTGTTGGTCTTACGGATTGGCGAAACCAAATGCTAATTCACTCGATCTCTCGTGTGGTTTCGCCGTCGATTCGATCGCAACCCTCAAAAGTTTCGGCTTTAGGGTTTTGTTCCACTGTCTCAGCAGCCGAGCGATTGTACCAACAGCTTCAGACATGCCCAAGCAATGTCGAGAAGGCTTTAGCATCAGTTAGCGTTAAACTGGACGCCGCTTGTGTCGGAGAGGTAGTTGGAAGATGCAAGCGGAATCAGTTTCATTCGGGTTTCAGATTTTTCGTTTGGGCGGGAACCCAGTCGGGCTATAGGCACAGTCTATTTATGTATAACAAAGCGTGTGATGTTTTCGAGATTAGCAGAAACCCAGGGATGATCAAGGATGTTATAGATGCGTACCGCGCAGAGAAATGTTCTGTCAGCGTCAAGTCTCTCAAGGTAATTCTGAATCTCTGTCACCAAGCTAGGCTTCCCGACGAGGCGTTGTGGGTGCTGAGGAAAATGCCGGAATTCAATTTACGTGCGGATACAGTTTCGTATAATCTGGTCATTAGGTCGCTTGTCGATAAGGGTGATGTAAATACGGCTGACCAGTTGATGAAGGAGATGGGTTTGGTAAATCTTTACCCAGATGTAATCACATATAGTTCAGTGATCAAAGGGTTTTGCAGTGTGGGTATGTTGGAAGATGCCTGGAGGTTAACTCAGACCATGAACGCTAATGGATGCACCATTAGTACTGTGATATATTCGACACTCGTAGAAGGATTTTGCAGGTCTGGTAGGGTGGAGAAAGCGTTAGATTTGTTAGGATTTATGGAGAAAGAAGGTGGAAGCATTAGCCCAGATACGATCACATATACTATGGTCATTCAAGCGCTCTGCGAAAGGAAGAGGATCCGAGAAGCGGTAGCTATATTGGACAGAATGGAAGACAGAGGATGTTTCCCAAATCGTGTCACTGCAAGTATTTTGGTAAAGGGGTTTTTGGAAACTGAGGATGAAGGTGAGCTTTCTAAGTTGGTTAAAAGGTTGGCAAAAAGGGGCGGGGTTCCCATGGATGAGTGCTTTAGTTCTGCTGTGGCATGGTTAGCCGGGATGAAAAGATGGGAAGAAACAGAGGACCTTTTCCGGCAGATGTTGGAATGTGGGATGAGACCCGATGGTCTTGCGTGCAGTCTTGTTCTTAGACAGATTTGTTCACAGGCAAGGTATCATGATTGTTTCTGTCTGTACGAAGATATTGAGAAGATGAAGGTTAATTCTACCATCGATTCCGATATACTATCGATTCTTTTGCTTGGTCTATGTGAACAAGGGCACTCTCGGGAAGCCACAGAGCTTGCAGGACTGATGCTTGAGAAGAAAATCAGACTGAATGTTGCTTATGCAGAGAAAATCATTGAGTATTTGAAGAAAGTCGGGGAACCAGAGCTTGTGCGCTTCAGCTCTCAAGGACTTGAAGTATGATGCTGTATCCAGAACAAGAACAACAGGTCATGGGTTATGATCATCAACAGAATATCGTGCTCTTATCATGTATTATGCGATTTGGTTGAAGGTTGTTCATTCATGCCATTAGGATGGCTATTATACTAGGAACCAAGGCAATATGGATAATAGTCTAACGGAAACCGGGGCATTTTGATCATTTTTGTCTTTGGTAGGATATGTAAAGAAACCGGTTGAGGTCCCTTGACAGCCTTCAAGAAGTTGTAAATAGTGTGAAAGAGCTTTCATTACTTGGAAGAAACCCGTTGAGGTCCCCAAACTCTTCTTGCTTTACCATCTTCTTTAGATCTTATCTGTTCGTCATCACCATCATCATCATCATGATGGAACATGATGATTGCGTCATATACATGCCAGAAGCCGTATGTGAATGAAATCAAGACCCCTCCATCATGTCATTGTCACGTTGTTTATATTACTGTATAATGTATATAGGAGGGAAATCAAATTCTGTGATCCTATCTTAGACATACTAATCAAATCAATAAGCTTTTCTGATATGAAATGCTACTTAACAGATCAAAGCACGGTGGCATTCATATGATATTTGTCGGGTTCCGTTCGTGTTGGAAATTTCAGTTTAGATATTTATAGATTCCTATCGTTTTTTTAGGGAAAAAAATTTATAAAGTGCAAAAAAGTTCTTACGTCGGATATTCCCTCTTCCTCACTCGCGCGTGTTCGTCACGGGCTAATTCTCCTTCGATCTGATTCGCACGTGCTTTTAATGCGCGTGGTAGTTAGACCAAACCCTTCACTGTATCCACCTCTCTCTGGAAGTTTGGATTATAAATATCTTTTTTTTGGTAAAAGGATTATAAATATCTCATCTCTCGAGTGTTGAAATTCATAATTAAAATAAACAAATAATTAAATAAACAAAAAAAAAACTAAAAGAGAGGAAAACTTCTTGGCAGATAAGAAAACAAATCCTTTATTTTTTTTTGGCTGCCAAGGAAAAAAAAAGTCGGAGAGAGAGGGGAAGAGGTATTTGCGTTTTTTATCAAACGAACATCAAAAGGGAAATTTTAACGAAACCCATGAAGGGATTCGATTCATCATCCGTTGAATCTCGAAGAATGGAGAAGATAAAACGTAACGGCGAGATGAAGCGGCGGCGCAACGGCGGGGTCACGGAAGAGGAAGCGTCGGAAACGGCGGCGGCGGCGGCGGAGGGAGATGATCCGGCGATGTGGGAGACACTGGATCAGAACTTCAGACAAGTTCAATCAGTTCTCGACAGGAACAGGGTTCTGATCCAACAAGTCAATGAGAATCACCAATCGAGAATGGCGGACAACATGGCCAAGAACGTTGCTCTGATCCAAGAAATTAATGGGAACATCACCAAAGTTGTTTCCATGTACTCTGATCTCAACACCAATTTCTCTTCCATGTTTGACGGCAAGAACGACGACGGCAGCGACGGTGGCTACAGCGGCGGCGGCACAGGAGCCAGGGCTTGATTTGGTTTTGGTTTAGCTTCAGTTTTGGTTCTCTAGATTGAACCGGCCGGTTCCAGAATTCTGATTCCGGTTAGGCTATGATTAAACTATTATTTTATGTCATTGATGACTATCTTTAGAATAAAATCTATAGGTTGATGAGTCTTTCAGTGTTCCTCTATTAATCGATAGCAATAAGAATCTGGTTTAGATCACGAATCTTTACTAATTTAGTTCAGAGCACATTTCGAGGCCCAACTAGGTGGAGGGCGTGCAAGTGTTCATAAGTCTTATATATATATAGCCAGATTTTGGATAAGACTTCTCCGTAAAGGCGTATGTAGAGGTGGTCATTTCCGGTTTCGGTTCGGTTATTTCGGGTTCGGTTATTTCGGTTATAAAAAAATTATATCAAAACGGTTATATAGATTTAATCGGTTCGGTTCAGTTCGGTTTCAGTTCGGTTCGGTTCGGTTTTTGCATAATAAAATTATAACCAAACGGTTATATTTTCCGGTTTATTCGGTTCGGTTTTAGATCGGTTCAGTTCGGTTATGATATATTTTGAAAAAAAAAATTATTAATCCTACATAAATTTCAAAATATCGATTCAAATAAATGCACAAAATGATTAATCATGTAATAAAATTATAAAAAAAATCTAAAAACTTCAATAATTAGGATAAAAATTAAAAACATTACATTTTATGGTTTATTAGGTGAAATATATAAGGTCAAAAGTGAAGTATAAAAAAATAATACTAATAATAATGAGGGTAAAAATTAAAATATTAAAAAAACTCAATAACCGTTCGGTTAACCGCGGTTATTCGGTTGTTAACCGAACCGAATCGAATCTGAACGGTTATTCAACTTCCTCAACCGTTCGGTTATTAAGCAAATAACCGAACCGAACCGAACCGTTCTTTTTCGGTTCGGTTCGATTCGGTTATTCGGTTAATAACCGAAATGGCCACTCCTAGGCGTATGAGCTCCCACTCAAATGTTTCGCGTCATTCTTTTCCTTGTGAGAATGACAGATTTCATATGTATTATATATTATCTTGTAATTGGTAGATTATGTAATCTAATTAAAATTTATGCATCTAATTGACCTCTCGAAAAAAAAATAGAGAGTAATGTGGAGATCACATATAGATTAATTACTAATTCTGTGATAAAATGAATCGGTAACTATACATTTGTTTTTTTGTTAAAAGCTAATTATACATTTGTTTCTTATACGTATAGAGATTAATGGTTTTGTGTTTTTGTTGATGCAAACTACATATCAGATTCAATGTTATTACGTTATCTCCTAAATAAAACGTTTGTAAAGATCTTTTCGGACCCAGAATTTGAAAGAAATCAATGTGTTGTTCTTTCGTCAAAGATAAATTCTAAATAGATCATTTATGATACGGAAAAATTTAGAAATTTGACGAAGATAGATATAGTTCAGAAGAAAAAAAGTGAGATACATGAACTTTGAGTTGATTGCATTGATTTTTATTCATCTAATTTTCAAAAAAAAGAATCTGAATTGGGATCATCTTATACTATTTTGGAAATTATTAATTCGTCCCTAGCTTTGTTTTGTAGAGTGTCAATTTTGACCCGAATTTCAAAATTCAATATGAATCCACCCAAAAAATATCAAGTTTTAGATTTAAATTTATCGATTCAAACAAATTTGAACTTTCAGACTTAGCTCAAATTGGACTTCGGATCGGTCCAAAAATTCGATTAATTTTTTTTTTCAAAAAATAAAAAATATCCATAAACAAAGATTTGAACTCACTGGACCGATCCTGAGTCCAAATTCTATAGGATCGGATTTCAGATTTGGCTATATAGACCCGAAAAATTCTGGATTAACTCAACTTGAACCCCCGGACAGAATATGTACTCCACATATAATCAAAGCCACTATCCTTCGGGTGTGTATTGGGTAAACTCCGCTATCGTGTAATAGTCTGCAAACTATAAGAAAGATATAAACCAGTCTACAGATTCACAGATGGAAAGGCTAAAAGGATTCGAACCCCCAACCATAAAGTTAAAAGTCCTAGTACTCAACTAATTCACCTTGGGATTTCCCGAATGACTGTGGTTTTAGTTGTAATTTAGTCCAATTGTGTATGCAGACTCTCTTGTTTCTATCTTTGGCATATTGTTTTTTGAATTGTTTTATCTGATTTGTGTTAATAATCGGTTGAAAGATATTAGGAGCCATCCGCCTCCCAAATTTATTTATTTATTTTGCACTAAAAAATGGTGACGTTGAGTAATGTGTTATTATTTTGGGAGAAAAAATTGTGTTAATTGGGATAATTCAATGTTAAATCAACATGTCCATTATCCAACTTGCAAATTTGGTCCAATGTGATTTTCTTACATGGGTTATATTGGATCTAACCAATTACGATCAAGACAATGAAGTCTCTGCTGAATATGATTTATAGAGGAAATTATTGAGAAATGGAGATTTCAATATTTATTTGGGTGAAATTTGACAATAGAGAACTCGAGTTTTTTTTCCTTCAAGGAATTGAAGTTTTCGAGTAATAAATCTGAATTTTGTGAAAAAAATCTTGTTTTGGAATGTAGTTTGCAAATTAAAACAAACACGCACACATTGAACTTCATAATTACAGCAGCAACAAAAAAAAACTTTCTAGAGAAAGACAACTTTTTTTTTGTTGTAAAATTCATTTATGTAATCAGAGAAATTAGATTTTGTTTGAATCGAAAAAAAAATAGATTTGGTTTAAAATAGTTCTAGAAGTTTTAACAAATCTAGTGAGTACAATAAATGTGATTATATATGTTCCTTTATTATATATATATATATATATATATAACTTTTACGTTAAAAAGGAGATATTTTTCTTGATTAGTGTAGTGATACAAGTCATTATTGATCAAATGGATATTAATGAATCATTGCTAAATTATTTTGATTACTGAATGATTAATTATTAAATAAATATTTGAACAAATATATGGTACTTTTTCAAGACATAATTTAAACTCTATAAGCAGATAAATTCAATTGATTCTATCTTACAAGTTCGATTAAATCTCGTGTGCAACTTTAAATGGAAAAAGACAACTTCGGTTATTTTTTAGGCCGATTGTCATATATATATATATATATATATATAGATACACTTATTAAAATGATTTATTTTTAATCAATGCAAGTTTTTTCCTTCTTACAGTTTGACCCCATAAAAACGTGAGGAGGCATCGGAGTCCCTTAGGCTTGAAGCGAGAGAAACATTTGAGAACAATTAGGTACAGATGTCTCGTCCCGTCAACACGAAAATCCTAAAATAAAATATATATCTAAATAATAAATCAAATGTATCACATCTTCATAATTACATTTACTGCCACTCCCCAGTTCTCACTTTCCATTTCTTTCCTCGCTTCCAATTCAATTTCTCTCTTCTCGATCTCCAAAACATCTCTCTCGCTCCCCCTCAGCAACTGCAACTGCAATGGCTTGGTTTTGAACTCCGTTCCTCGACAATGGCGGTTTCTTAGAGAGAGCTCGTGTCTACGAACCGAGAGAGTGGTCCGTTTCCCCTTTTTCTTCGTCTCCTTTTTGGCTGCTTTCTCTGCTTCTGTCAAGCGGGAAAGTGATGAAATGTGTTGAGGTTTAAGGTTTTCAGCTCGCAAATCTCTGTTTTAGGTTTAGGTTTTGTATTTCTCTTTCAATTTAGGAGTAGTTTCAAGCTTGTGGAGAATAATTTATTCGATTAAGATATGGTTTCCGTCGTTGTCGTCTGTGCTTGGGGGAAGTAAATTAGAAGCTACGTTAGGTTTTCGTCACTTGGTCTGTAAGCTGTCCAATTGGAGCGATGAATCGGAGTTTTAGGGCACAAGATTCGCTAATGCTTGACTCGGTGGAGAGGCAAAGACAGCATCTTAGGGCTTCTATGATGGCCGAGAAGGAAGAAGAGCTCGCTTTGTTCCTTGAGATGAGACGGAGAGAGAAAGATCATGACAATCTCCTCAACAACCCTGAAGAGTTTGAAACTCCATTAGGTATTCGTTTCCTCCATTTGGTCGAAATGGGTCAACCATTCGGTGTTGACTTTATTGAAACCTTGTATAGTTCAAGAGTTTGACTAGTAATCTGAACTTGTTACTCTTTCGATCTTGTCATTGGATTTGGACCACTAGGTTCCAAGCCTGGTACATCGCCTATGTTCCACATTTCAATGGCTAAGCCGGCGCACAAGAAGGCTGCACCAGATGATTTTCTGGAGTCTGAGGGCGACAAAAATGACTATGAATGGTAAGTTTTCCTTATGCTGTTGCATGTTCATCTGGTTGCTTTGTTCATTAGTATTGGTAATTGATATAATTGTCGCATCCACTAGCAATTTTCGGAACATATGTTACCATCTTAGGTGTGAGCTCTTTTAGTATATTCGTGATAGTTTTGTGATTGAACGGTTTAGTTGACCTCAGGTTGTTACCTGTGTCGGTGTTTCATGGCTGTTAGTATATAATGCTTGTTGGTTGAACTAAAATTGGAACATGTTACTTTTTAGCTGTGACATTTTATGATTCTTTCATATTTGGTGTGGATTCTATTACGAATTCAACATCTGTATTCAGTTAAGCAGTGTAAAAATGGTTATTTGACTGCAAATGCGAGAACTTTGATGCAAATGATGTACCCGTTCGTTTACGTATGGGGAACGGGGAAAGTTGTGGAAAGTCTGTTTTAGCCTGATTGTTCTTCATCTGAACTGGCTTCACCCAAACGGATATTTATACATCTTCAACAATTCCGGATGCATGATTTCTCTTTTTTGTCTTTCACATTCAGCTCCCTTGAATGTTATCGTTTATCGGCTTTTCATTTCCACCCAAAATTGACATTTTTCCTTTGTGTTTCAAGGCTTCTGACCCCTCCAGGTACTCCCTTATTTCCTTCTTTGGAGATCGAATCACACAAGGCTATGTTGAGTCAGTCCAATAATTCAAAGGCTCGCCCGAATGCATTGAATTCTAGGGTAAGGATAGCATTGCTTAGTGCCCTGACTTTTTTAACAGACCTTGAATGCTCTCATCAATCTTTACATCATAACGTTAAGCTGATAGACGGCCAAGAGTTCTGCGCTCGCATAGGATACGGAATTTCCTGGGTTGAAACGAGGTTTACAGATATCGGTTGATTTATATTTTTAGGACTGCCACTGATTCAACCTGTTGCACACCATAATCTGATGCGTTTACCCCAATTTTTCTTATTCATGATGTGGGATATGTTCAGAATTTTAGATGGGCAAACAATGGCCATGACATGTGGTTACTGCACAAAAGTCTAGGCCAGCTTTCTATTAGAACGGTCCCTTGCCTATGCATCTTGAAACGTTACATATAGACATATTTGGAGATGTTGTTTGATGGTAAACTTCAATACTCTTGTTATAGCTGTCAAATTCTTCAACGGAGCCAGCTACGAGGAACAGCTTAGCATCTAGACAGCCGACTTCTTCTCCCGGGCTGAGCTCTTCTGGTGGAGCAAACCAAAGAAGACCTTCATCATCGGGGGGACCCGGATCGAGACCTGCAACACCCGTTGGAAGGCCCACACTTACTACAAATCCGAGATCCTCAAGGGCTTCAACCCCAACTTCGCGAGCCATATTGCCATCTACTACAAGGCCCTCCGCGACGAATTCCACTGTTTCAGTGACTAGAACCGCATCTGCAAGTAGGGCAACAGGAACAGCCGCTAGGCCCACATCTACCACTGCTAGACAGATCGGTTCAGCCACTAAGCCCACCGGTTCAGGTCGACAGTTCACTACGAGCACCACCAAGCCTGCAGGTCCATCAA